TTTCTATTGTTCTCCAAACGGCCATTGTACTTATTGTTCCCATTGTTCTTTGTTTGTCGCTGCGCGCTCTATTGTTCTTGTATCATATAAATAGTGGCGCCTGGCAAGGAGAATCCCCAACACGGTTTCTTTTTGGATTCTCCCTTGCCAGGTATGCCGGTCTTGTACCTAGCTACCACTATTAACACTTTGGATTCTCCCTTGCCAGAACTCTGAGATCGGGTCTCGAGGTTGCCCTTACACCTCATAGATCATAATCTCCTTCAGAGATCGATGCATCTGGATCAAGCAATGTAATCGCGATCCGGCATGGTTTCACCAGCGCTATGCAGCAGCTAAAGTGAATACAGATAGGCTAAAGACGCTGCTCATTGTTGCAGCCAGTGACGGCGCATACAATGAATGTCGCGGCCACTGAGGCGCAGACATAGCTCTCGGGGCCCATAACCTGTTGAGCACTGGGGAGAGCGTCTAGCAACCCACCTGTGTGAGTTGAGAGCTTAGTGTGGGCACTATGTGGGAGTAGTCAAGAGACTTGTATTAAAGGGTAATAGAGCCCTCCTTATATATGATACAAGGGGCTGTTTGTGTCTATTTAGGACGAGTCAACATGACTCTAGATGACACGTGATGGAGTCATAGATGTGTATCATGACATCCATCTTGACAGATGATAATTGATCAACACCTCCCACATCTCCAGCATGTTAATGAGGTCCAGCTTCGGGTTGAGGAGTTCCTCCCGGAACACACCGATCTGTCTCACTCGCTCGCCACCTTCCCGCTTTTCAATCAGGTACATGAAGGGTAAGGTCTCCCCTTCCCTCTTGTCACTCCAGAAGCATGGTTCCACGCTTACATACTTGTCGCGTATAGACTTGTCCTGGGTGGCCATATCATCCAGGTAGAATCCCAACTGAACACCTTGTTGGCAAGTGAGTAAGGGTCCTCCGAGCCGCATGACCAAAACACTTATGCCACAATTCATGATCGGTAGTTTCCAGGGAAGCGAGCGCGGTAGACTCGTGAGATGCAGACACGGATGGTGCCACGAGCTCCTCGGGGTAGTACCAGTAGCAGTGATTGCTAGCTTTAAAGGTCATCAAGACATCCCCATGCGCTTTTTCCTTGTTGAGCCAATCCTTGGTGACTAGGATTGCCTTGTTGTCACCAACCATGGTGTAGTAACCAGCCTGATTGAGCACATACCCAGAAAGATAGTGCCCTCTTATGTGCGGGTTGTAGATGACATCCTTCAGCGTGAAGGTGTAGTCCATGCCACTACTAGTATGACCCCGCAACACAATATCTCCAACGGCTTCATTCTTGAAGCGAGCTCCTGGAAGCCTGGGCGTACCTGTACGCCAAGGAACACTGGGAAAGGACAAAGGGAGGAGACGGAAGAAAAGGGCGGGTGAGAAACTAGTGAAAAGTCCCTTGCGTGGGGATGTATATGCAGTGCGGAAGTAAGCTGAGGGATCCTCTATCCTATGTATGTAACGGTAACGTGACGTGCTGGTATGCGCGTGAGTCCACCGGGCTTACACCCTCCCCCTCTCTAAAACAGTGTATCCGTCAGTATCGTAAGATGTAAGTAAGCGTGCACGGGTGCATCAAAACCCAGTGGGAAAAAGCTACCGGCCACTGGTTGATGTGGTAACTACTGGAATTTCCTGGCGAGCCTCCAACCAACGATCGAGAGCCTCCGTTTTGGCCAGTTCACGTCCCGCGAGCCAACGTTCGTCTTCCGGGCCGTGCCCAGCCCATCGCACCAAAAATTGCTTTCCGCGGCCTCGCGGGCGTTCATCGATTATGCTGTTGACCCGCCATTCCTCCTGCCCCTGGGGCGTCACAATCGGGCCTGGTCTTGGCAACTTGCGGTCCGGGAAGAGGCCGGGGTCATTTTCCTTATATGGCTGAACTTCAGACTTGTGGAACATGGGGAACACCAATGGTTGACCAGCCATGTTGAGTGTCACCGTTGAGCACTCCGGGTGCACGGCAACGATTGTGTAGGGGCCATCGAATCGGGGCATGAATTTCGCGCAATGTCCTTTATCGGTCGAGGAACGCAGATACTGTGAACGTCGATTAGCAGTGCTGAGCTTCACTCGGTCGCCTACACTGTAGTCGGGGGAGGGGTCCCACGACTTATTCGCCTGTTCCGCTTGCGCGCACTTGGCCGCCAGCAAATTGTCCTGTGCTTCCGCCACGTCTTCCTCCAGTCTTGCGATTATATCCCACGCCACGTCGTCTTCCGGCGTTGCCTCTTCCGGCAGTAGCGGGCCCATCAAGGGGGGAATGACCCGCGGCGAACGACCCATACGCAGTTGGAAGGGGGAGTAGCCAGTAGATTTGTTAATGGAATTCATAATCTGAAAACGCACCCTGGGCAGGGCGCACACCCATCCACGCTGGTTCCGAGCCACGTGGTACTGCAGGCATTGATTCAATGTCTTGTTCGTCCGCTCGCTGGCCCCGTTGGTCTCTGGATGAAACGCGGTCGACATCTTCAGTTTCACGCCGGTTAGCTTGTGTAGTGATTTCCAGAATGCAGAGACAAATAGCTTGTCCCTGTTGGAGATGATCTCCAGAGGCAAGCTATTTTCACAGTACCAGTGTTCGAAGAAGATCAGCGCAAAATCTTCCGCCAAAATGTCTGTCCGGGTTGCCACGAAACGGATGTCGGAACCCAGACGGTCCGTGAACGTTGCAATGCAGTTCTTTCCATCGTCCAATGGGAGGGGGCCAACAAAGTCTATGGCGACCGAGTCGCCCCGCTTCTCCGGAATCGGCAGCGGGTGCAGTGGGCCGGCAGATTTACTTGTAGACGACTTGTTCCTCTGGCAGTCGGGACATGAAGGAACATACCCATCTTCCAGGTCACGGCGCATGCCTGGCCAGTAATACCCTTCACGCAGGGCAGCGTATGATTTCTGGAAACCGAAGTGTCCACTATCGTCATGGGCCAGGCAGAAAAGTTTCTCTCGAATGTTGCCCCATCTTGGAATGATCAGTCTAGAACCCACAAACCACAGACCGTTATCTTCCCTCATTCCCGATATGCTCTTCGTCAATGCTGGCAGCTTCGCGCACCACTTGTCATCGGCGTAACCACGGCGGATCTCGTCAATCAATTTGGCATCCGATCGTATCTGCAGCGTGCTCGCTACTGTTCGCAGGGAGGGAGAACTTGATCCCATCTCGGTCGCCCCGCATGCTCTATCGCAGGCCAACAGGTGAGCTGGCAGGAACGCGCCCTTCTTCAATGCTCCAACTGCATTGAAACTTTCCGGATCGTCTTGCCAATCCCCTGGGACCTCGGGTAGTTCGCTCCTCGAATCCTCCGTTTCCCCGAAATCCATGCGGGACAGGGCGTCAGCGGCACAATTCTCTTCTCCTGGGACGTACACAATCTTTGCATCAAATTGCGACATGAATTCCATCCAACGGGCCTGACGGTGGGACAAGTCACGTTGCGTGGCAAAGTTCTCTAATGTTCGGTGATCTGTATAGATCTCGAAGGACGCGCCCACCAAGTCAGAACGCCAGCGGCGCAAGGCTCGAATGATCGCCAACATCTCCTTTTCGTGGACTGCGTAGTTCAGTTCCGGGCCTTTGAGCATCATGGAATCGAACGCCACTGGTTGTGCCGACTCCCATGTGGGGCCATACAAGAGAACAGCACCTGTTCGGTAGTCACTCGCATCAGTCGTTACAAAAATCTTGTTGTCACTGTGGTCCGCGTGGTTTATTGTTGTCAAGCAGTCGGCACTCAACACCAACGACTTGATGTTGTCAAAAGCGACCTGGTGTTCGGCCTTCCACCCCGGGAACTGTTTGTCGGCCAGTTTCGTCGTCAAGGGAGTCAATACCATCGTCTCTTGGGCCAAGTTTGGCAGGAACTGAGATACATAGCGGACTAGACCCAAAAACGCGCGCACATTGGTTGCCGACTTTGGAGTCGGCCAGTTTGCGATCCGCTGGACTTTGTCCTTGCACGGTTCAATTCCCCGGGTTGAAATCCGGTGTCCTAAAAACACCACTTCGCGGCAAAACAGCTTCGTCTTCTTTTCATTACAATACAAGCCCGACTTACGGAGGGCTTCGAAAACATCATGTTTGTCTTTCTCGTGTTGATCGATTCCGTCCGACCAGATTATGATGTCGTCAAGGTATACGTGGCATTTGATCCCAAGGTAGGGCCGCAGTGCCGCTGTAACCCGCCTCTGCTGCACTGATGGCGCGTTGCGCAAGCCCTGCGGCATCACCATCCATTCATACAGTCCCAATGGCGTGCTGATTGCAGTGTAAGGAATGGAATCCGGGTGCAGCTTCGTTTGAAAAAAACTGTTGGTGAAATCTATAGTGGACCAGATGTTCCCTTTTGCGGCATCAGCCAGAATGTCATCAACTCGAGGCAGCGGGAACAGATCATGCACCGTGTTTGCATTCAGTTCTCGGAAGTCGTTTACCCAGCGGGGTAACGCCAGCTTGTCAGCCTTTGGGATCAGGAAGGCCGGCGAAGCAAACGGTGAATTTGATGGACAGATATGTCCCGCTGTCAGATGCTTATCTATCAGCAGTCGCCACGCTTCTCGGTATTTCCGTGGACTCTGGTATGTGTGTTTTGAGAGTGCCTTGTGTGCATCCTTCAGACGAATTTCACAGACCACGTCGTCTGCTAGCCGATCAATATGGGGAATTGGTTCAAAGATCTCACGGAATTTCGATTTCAGACTCTCTCCTCTCTGTTGCAGCATCTCCCAGTCTGCCAGCACCTCGATACGCTGACGGACTGCGGCCACCACGTCTACCTCTTTGACTGGTTCAAACAGGTCCTTTGCCAGCATGTCCTGTTTCCTGGATTCGCACACAGACTTGAGCTCCGTTTGCAGTTGTTTCAAGTCTGCCCGCGTCTTTGTCAGGCGGTCTCGTAACTGCGGTCGAGGCACAGGCGGCGGCCGAAGCGGCGCAGGGTCCAACAAATTATATTGACATCATTTGTCGATTACAGAGCGTGCTTCCACGTCAATTACGTTGTGATTTCTTTCAAGCCACGGCAGTCCAAATATCACGTCAACACAGAGAGCAGGAGTTACCAGCGCCCGGACCACGTTTGATTCCCAGTGCTGGTCCAGAGAGAGTGTTCGCAGTTTCACATATTCCAGTACTTGTGTTGGGGCATAGTCATGTACGTCGGTCGTTGCAACATTGAAGGTTTCGGGTTCACGTAGTTTGAAACGGCGCAGTCCAAGTCGTTGCACAAGATCGTCCCGGATTAAGACTATGTGTGCCCCGGAGTCAATCAGTCCACAGGCGGCAACGAGGTTTCCCACTCGGGGACCATTCATCAGGAACTCCCACACAAAGTGGTCGCTACAATGGGATGGTCCCGTGTTCTGGGAGGAATCACTCACACGTGTGCTCAGGTCATCCTCAGTGTCGGTGTACTCTTCCTCCTCGTTCTCGCTGTCGGATTTCGGGAAGACAGCAGCCACCGCCTTTATCGCCGCACGAGGGATGCCGAACTTGGTCGCTTGCGCTTCTGACAGTGCGTTCCGGGCGGCGCTCGCCGTTGTGAGACTGAGCGGCTTGTACGATTCGGCAGAGGGGAAGGTGCAAACACGGTTGGATGAGCGGTGGTCCACATAGAACTTCCGGCATGTACGACAGCCATGGTGGTTGTTTAGCAGTTGTTTGTCTGCTTCGGACAGTGGGGGGAGGCGTCCCGAACGAGCGTTGGTGGACGAAGAGGACGAAGAAGCGACGGATGGGGGAGGCGCGTTTTCGTTGGTACGAGTCTGTTTCTTTGGGCGGGAATCGTACGTTCCCATAGAAGGAGCGGCGCGTTTGCGTTGTGCTTTGAACATCTTGCGTGCACGCGTATTTTCTTTCATGTGCTTCCCGTTGAGTCGGACCACCCCTTTAAGCCACTTCCCAAAGTCCGTCTCCTCGTTCACGATCTTGTCTTCGATGACCAAGTCATTCAAATCCGCCACCATGGCGGTTTCCAAGTGCAGGCGCATACGATCGTCGGGCAGGTGGTATTTGGAGCCGGTAAGCAACGCGTTGCGTGAACGAATGAGTGTCGAGAAGTGGTGGAAGGTGTCATTGTCGGACATCTTCTGCTGCATTATCTCACGGCGGATATCCAAATCCCACTCCGCGGGTAGCATGACGCCACGAATTGTCTTCATCAGGTCGTCAAATGTCCCGGCTAGTGCTGTCGCGCGTTCGTTCTCGAGCTCAAGCAATTTGGTGATGCGAAAATCGCGGAAGCAGGACATTGCTATGGCGACCTGTTCGTCATCCGGCACCTTCTTTATCGTGGTGTAATTGCGGAAGGAGATCGTAAACTCGCGCAGAACGGCGGGGGTGCAATCGCCCTCAGTGAGTACCGGGGCTTTGCTCGAATGAGTCTCGATTGTTGCCTTGGGCACGGTCGTGGAGTCTTGTGACTGCATGCGGATCGTATGGCGTTGATGAGAGACAGCAGGGGGAGACGGTGTGCAAGATGAGCTATCAGAATCGGAACAGGCAATTAGCGGGACTGGGCAAGACAGGGATGATGATAACACGGCGGGTCCTGAGCGTGTCAAAGAGGGGGGTTCTGAGCGTGTTAACGTTCGGATGGTCATTCTTTGACTGCAAGTTTGCAGCGAATGAGGCACAGATGGGAGACGGGCGGCCAGTGTGACTGCAAACAGTCAATATATGCGGTGAAACGGTAACAGCGGGAGCCAGTAATAAGACAGACACGTTCGTCTGAACGTTCTACGGCACGGTAACAGCGGTACGACCAGTCGTTTATCCCCACGAGGGATAATAGCTCTCGGAGGCGGTTGTGTGCAAGGGAGGACGTCACTAAAAAAGTGGAAGCCTGGGCGTACCTGTACGCCAAGGAACACTGGGAAAGGACGAAGGGAGGAGACGGAAGAAAAGGGCGGGTGAGAAACTAGTGAAAAGTCCCTTGCGTGGGGATGTATATGCAGTGCGGAAGTAAGCTGAGGGATCCTCTATCCTATGTACGTAACGGTAACGTGATGTGCTGGTATGCGCGTGAGTCCACCGGGCTTACAGCTCCCGACCCAACGACTACGTAGGTGTCGATAGGTCTGATGTTGTGAAGATCGGATCAGGTGTTTGTCATATGATGCACACAACCCGAGTCCCATAGAAAACGAACTTTGGAGTCGTCTCCCATTTGTTCAACAAAAATTCCATCATTGATGTGTTTGAGGGAGTCACTCATGAGATAGGACGAAATGTGCATGTAGGAGGGGCTACAACTTCTTTTACAGCGCTAGTACCATCACCACTCTTCTTCTCCTTCTTCTTTTTCTTCTTCCCCTCATCCTGCTTCCCCTTGCCTTTGTCAGATGATTGACTGTTAGGCTTGAGGTTGGGATACTTCTTGTAGCAGGATGCTGCAACATGACCGGACTTGTTGCAATGAGTGCAGCGGGTGGCGAGGGACGGAATGGTGGAAATCTTCGAGTTTGACGTCATGTCGAGGTTCTCAATCTTGATATTCCCAATGACGCTGTTCTTGACATCGACCGGGTTCAAGGAAGCGATAGGACGATTGGCCAGATAAGAGGTGACAAAACCTCTGCTGGAAGCAGGCAAGGCGGCGAGCATTAGAGTTGCAAAGAGGTAATCGGGGATCTCAATTCCTCCTTCTGAACACTGGCGACGACAAGTCTCCATTTCCATGATTTGCTTTTCAATGGTGTCACCACCATAGAAGGTGGTGGTGTTCAGGAGGCGGTACTCGACAAAAGCATTGATGGCATTTGGTTGGCCATAATCCGTCACCATCTTTGCAAAGACCTCGCGCGCAGTGTGCTCCTGCTGACCATCCATAAAGATTCCCTTGCGCAGATTCTGGGTGATATAAACCTGCGCAAGACCCAGTGCCTTTTCATTGGCAACGTCCCATTGATACTGGCTGTCGCCAGCCGTTCCAGGACGCTCCATAGAACCAGGGTTTGAGGTAGATGTGCCGTTAACCGTAATATGAGTGGGTTTAACCACTCCCCAAGTGCCCTGATGCATGCAGATGCTCATGTAGTTGTCCAACCACGTATTCCAATTGGTGCCATCGAAGACACTCAGAATGGAGTTGTTGAGTTTCTCGATTCCCGACATCGTGGGGAGATACTCGATAACGTCGGCGGTTTGGTAGTGGAGAGAGGGGAATTCAATATAGGGAGGATCACCGAATAGGGACCGAAGTTCAGGAGTCCAATTGTCCTGATGGTGAAATAGATCTTCGTTGTTGTGTTCACCAAGTTCGTATAGGTCTTCCCAATCGGTGTCTTGAAGGGTTGTATAAGAAGGTCCCTGAGCCCAACGGACAACAGGAAATAGGATAACCCCAACGGGAGGGTCGTCTGGTGATGACAGGGTGATAGAGATGAAGACTAGAGCGACGAAGTCAGCCCCAGATTCTCTGCAGACCAAGAAACAAAATCCCGAGTGCCAAATCTCTGAAACAAGAACAACCAAGCGTCCCCATCCCATCCATGATGCCCATATACACGTGGAGAATGATAACGAAATAAAGCGGTATAGTAAATGCCCATATTTGTATCAAAGTAACGTAACTATATACGTCAGCGGCGGCAGTACCCAACGGTGATTACTGCCCTCGCAGTCCGTCACTGGCCAAGGGACACGTGCCCAAGGCCGTCCCAAGCACCGGGTTTGGCCGCCCATCTTCTCCCTTTTAAAGATATGCATACATGCAGAGCGTCATTGCATGAATCCTCATAGTGTCACCAGCCCGCAGGGTCCCTTGTGAGGAATGCAAGTCAACCCCGAAGGATTGTTTTGCCTGGCGGAGGGATTGACCTCCAGCAGCTGTTGAGAGCTACCACACCACCTAGGCGCTTCGTGCAAGGTTCAGGAGTGGGATTGACCAAAGGACCAGTGCCTGGTGGGTATGTCCGCTGTACAATAAAAAGATGTAACGTAAAACGTGCACGAGCAATCATGGACGGAATAGCTAACGGCACGTCTGCCAACTGAATGACTCCCTGACGCCGCTCGCGTAACCCCTTGAGGGTGAGAGCACAAATGCGAGGACCAACATCCAGCAAGTGGGACGAGCGCACAAAGACGGCGCTCTAGAAGGGCTGAACGAGTGAAAGATACTCACCTTATTAAAGGGAGTAGTTCGGTTGTTTCTTGATTTGCCGCTAGTGGTTCAGGCAGGGCCCATAACCTGTCGCAGACAATATCGCGCAGTGGAGATACGACCAGTAGCGATCACCTAAAGACACAGAGTCTCAGTGAGTGTAAGACACAGGAGCTATACATTAGCTGTACCTAAAGACACAGAGTCTGTGGTACAAGTCATAAGTAAGGTCATTAGATCGTAAGGGAGAATGCATACCTCAGCAAGTGTAAGACACAGGAGCTGAGGATATGGAGCGTATAGTACTAGGTTTATATACCAGTCTGGAGCAGATATCATGATGTCATAGTGGAGTAATGATATCATAGATGAGTAATGGATGATGCAATAATGAGGTCAGGTATGAGGTCATTGTGGAGCAAGCCAAAGTAATCTAAGAATACTACTTATGATGTCATGTCTACATACTGTGATAGTCGCTAATACAAACAAGCTTCAACATGCTGAGCTTGCCCACTCAAATATAGCTGCGAGATACAGGTGTTGAGCCGGGCCGCAAACGTGACCGACATACGTCCCGTGTGTCGTGCGCTCGCTGATGTGCACAGCTTGTGGGGATAGCTAGCAGCGCAGCACGCCTGCCTGCGCTTGACTGGATTGACTTTGACACGCGTTTGTAGATGCAAGACAGACCAGCCGCACGGGGCAGACATAATTTGACACGAAAATGGTTCAGAGGGCGATTGACAGTATTGAGATTTGGGTGAACAAACGGAAGAAGATCTGAATAAAGTCACTAATGATAGTAGGGGGTTGCGATTCCCTTGACACCAGCCCAAGCCTCGTCCAAAGCATCGACCACATCTTCAGCTGGCGACACATTTATCAACAGTTCTCACAACTTTTGGGTCACTTACGCAGCGGTCCCTTTTCGAAATCGTCCAGATTCTTCGGTTTGTGTGTGAGAAATGGAGAGAATTCTTTCATTAGACGCGCACCTGTTTGATGTGGGCAATGCTCGATGCACCGATGAGGACCGCATCGCCGAATTCGCGCTTCATCAAAGAATGATGCATGGTCCAGCGCAACGCCACCTCAATCATCGTCAGGCCATGTTTGTCCGCGGCTGCGGATATTTTATTCAGTCCGTCGAAATATGCTTGCTGCCAGTATCGCTTGCGGTAGAGCTGGGAGCGATGTCAAGTACAGAATACAAAGCGGGTTTGTTGGACCGAGCTCACATTGCTGATACCTTTCCCGGTGTGGAAGCGGGAGGTGCCGTCCGCTTCGTCGGTGATGTTGGAGTACCGGCCCGTAAAGAATCCCCCGCCCACCGGGTTGAACCCGTAAAATGCAATCCCGAATTTACGCAAACAGGGGAAGAGCTCCGGTTCAACGGACCGGTGGATCGCGTTGTAGAGCCCCTGATACACAGTCGGCTTGATCCAGCCGTTGCGCTCACAGATCCCGCAAAGCTCGGCCACCTCCCACGACATGTAGTTGCTGATTCCGAACCGCTTGAACTTGCCCTCCTTGTAAAAGCTCGTTCACGGCGCGCAGTGTGTCTTCGAAGGGAGTTTTACGGTCCGGGGCATGCAGATACCACATTTCGATCGTGCTGAATGATCATGGTTCAGTCACTGCAGCCTCAGCGGGAGACAGAGCACGCACTCGGTCTTGAGAGCATCGAGGGACATCTGACAGAACTTACGAATGCTGGCCGGCGAGTGATCGCCGATGTGGCTAGTTTTTGGCTGATCCAGTCAGCGTCGAATATGTGCACAGGGCAGAGATTTTGCGAACTGAGACCGGGTACAGCTTTGTCTCCATCAGCACGCCTTTGCTCTTCCAGTCGATCTGCCCGAGGTACTGTTCGTTGGTCCCATCCCCGTACATGCGCGCTGCGTCTATCTGCCGGCGCACTCACTCGTGTGCAGAAAGTGAGTCGCAGGGCGGAGAACGCACCTCGCGATGGCCGTGGCTGAGAAATCCATCGATGATAGCCTCGATATCTTTGAGGTCAGAGACACGCGCTGCCAAGGTCCCCGGTGCCCCGAAAGTCATGGCGCCCTGTGCGCAGTAGATCAGAGGTGGCGTCCGCACTGCAGAATCTTGCTAAGTCGTACTAAGACAACATTGACAGCGGTTTTTTGGCCAGGATACGGAGTGGTCATGTTTTGAGTCGATTTCGATGTGCAGGGGAGGTTGTGGCTTGGATAGACTGGACTGGGCGGCTTTTGAGGTAGGACATTACTACGAGCGAGTGACACAATTCAATGGTGGCTGTGCGACACAGAGGCCGTGTGACCGATGATGACTGTGTGCCATGAGTAAATACTTATATGCATCCATGATCATGGCCGGCGACTTGGGCGTACAGATATCCGCAGGCCTTCGGCTACCTCCCGTTGAGTCAGTCCGGAATAGTGCAACTGATGGAAAAATCATGGCCGAGAAGGCCAAAGATCAGGCTAAAATAGCCCAGCTCTCAGCCGCAGTCGACGAGAATTTCAGAGGGTGTCAAATTAGGACATTCACCCACTGTGATACATCAGGACTTCCGCAATCCGTACCAAGCTGAGCGAGGACGTTTTCGGAGGGAATCTTCCTCAACCGCCACGAAAGTTGAGAGTTTTTCGAAATTGATGCTGATCTCAGTCCGGTATAGTTCAATTCAACACTCATTCATCCAATGTGGTAGTGCAGATCAGCCTTTTGTGGTGAACGGATCCAGTAATGAGTAGCTGGGGGTCTATATCATGGATCTCAGCTGATCAGTTGACGTAGCATCTCCTCTTCCGACGATTAGATCCTGGACGGCTCCTTTACCGAGGCTGACTGAAATTGTTTGACGACCTCATTATATGGAGCTGCGGTAGAAGGAGAGACGGTTCCTGATCCAGCCTGATCTGGCCCATGCTTCCCGTTCAACTTGCCGTATGCTTTATAATGGTCTCCAATGAGACTTGAAACTAAGCCGGGATGCTTCTGTAGGAGAAATCGGGATACCACATCGCTGACTGATGCTGGCATTCCGGAATGGTTCCGACAATCTCAGAGATGCGTTCCCCCCGATCTTTTCGCAACGCTCATTGAAGAGGAAAAACAGACTTATGAGACTTTGGGTCAAGCAGTCGACATTCATCGCCCTTTCGGTTCGAAAATTCTCAATGCCAAAACTACTGCTCCTCTACTTAGAATGCTTATAGATCTCGTCCAGGAAGCTAGTGGAGATATCGCATCTGACCACCCATAATACCCAGCGCAGAGCTTCCTCGCGGATTGCGCTAGTGATCGCGTTGAGATTGTCATACACCTCACCATTGTGTTTTGCATGGCACTAATGCATTTATTGTTATTTGGTTCACGAGTGTGCTGAATCGTATTGGATGCTTTGCGGAGAGTCGTCTGGCAGGTTACGGGACTGAGGCTTTCCGAGTCTAGCACGAGGTTTGTTCGATCAAATTTAATGGCATGTTCCAACGCCTCAAGGACGAGGCCGACTGATTGGTAGATTATCAGGTCCACTCATTGCGGTGCGCTCATTTTGAGATCTGTGGAAGAGGCTTGAGTATGATGGGAGGGCGAAGCTGCACAATCGCTCACGGCTGCGGAGCGACTGACATGCCCCTGATCGAAGGGGTTTGCAGATAATACAGCCCAGCCGAGCGATAGACAAACTGAACACATGGTACTAGCTTGCAGTGAGACAAAGCCAGCGGCAAAGGGGAGAGCGGACAAGCAATTTGCACGAGAATGAGCATGCGATCACTCCACGTATTGCCAAACGACGCTTCGGCAGTCAACGGTGAAATGTCGATCCAAAAGCTTGCAGGGTCATTAGACCTCCTGTCTTGACACAGAGACCCAATCCAGAGCCTCGCAAATGAGGCTAGTGCAATCATGGGCTTCACCTTTAAAGGATCTTAAATGCAGCAAGAGTCACATCGAGCCAGGGTCAAAGCTAGGAAGAAGTGTCGAAGCGTATCAGCGGCCGGCGCTTAGAAACTTCGGACGTCTACGATTCTTTCAAAAATGTGAAGAGCCCCCCGAGAGACGTGAACGCATGGCGATTGATATGGGGCGAATCGACCGACGAAAATAGCCCCAGGGTCAGTCTTCCGAATCCCCAGCAACGCAGTAACGGAGGTCAGTGCAAAACTTCATCATTCCTGGCAGGTGACCCTGCGCAGTCATTTGGACAGTTACGGAGTAGCAGATGGAAAGTAAATCCAAAAATGTCTCGTGGCAGTGATGATGGCAGTGCCTGCGCGTCACCAGCAGTGGGGTCCAGCACATCACACTCTTCACAAATCTCATCGTCGACCAGCTTCCTCTTGTTCCCTGCTAGACACATCCATCATTCAGCTCGCCATCAAGCCATTCGCCCAAGCCGAGAAGTCTTGTTACCTCGCTACATTCCACACTCCCCCATCGCGAAATCTCCAGTAAGATGAGCGAAGCACCCCACGCCGCGAGCGCTAGTGTCCTGCCTGCGGGCATCACGGACCCGAATTTCGCCCCACCACCGGGCACCCTGGGAAACTTGAACGTCATCCAACAACACTCCCTGGACAAATTCAAGAAGGAGCTAAAGGAAGAGGGGTATTTTGAGGAAGGCCCGATACGGTTCACCGATGCTGGTCTGCTCAAGTGCGTCGTCGCTTGCCCCATCCGAATCCCCTCCCATCCCATTCTGCTAAACCAATAACCGCGCAGATTCCTCCGCGCACGCAAATTTGACGTGCCCAAAGCCAAGGAGATGTTTATCGCGTGCGAGAAATGGCGGAAGGAGTTTGGCGTCGACGAGATCGTCCAGAACTTCGACTACCCCGAGCTGCCGATTGTGGACAAGTACTACCCTCAGTACTACCACAAGAACGACAAGGACGGGCGCCCGATCTACATCGAGCGGCTCGGCCTGCTCGACCTCAAGGCGCTGTACGCCGCGACGACGCCCGAGCGGCAGATCAAGCGCCTGGTGCTCGAGTACGAGAAGTTCATTAACGAGCGGCTGCCCGCGTGCTCCGCCGCCGCCGGCCACCCCGTCGAGACATCGTGCACGATTCTCGACCTGCAGGGCGTCTCGATGTCCAACTTCTACCGCGTGAAGGACTACGTGTCCAAGGCGACCGACATCGGGCAGAACCGCTACCCGGAAAGCATGGGCAAGTTCTACATCATCAACGCCCCCTGGGCGTTCTCCGCCGTCTGGAGCATCATCAAGCCCTGGCTCGATGAAGTCACCGTGAAGAAGATCGATATCATCGGCAGCTCGTACAAAGACAAGCTCCTGGCCCAGATTCCGGCGGAGAACCTGCCCAAGCAGTTCGGTGGGAAGTGTGACTGCCCCGGCGGATGCTCGCTCAGCGATGCTGGGCCATGGAATAACAAGGAGGTCATCGAGGCCGTCGAGAGCGGACAAGTCCTGTCTGCCTGAAGTGGTTTATGGTACTGAAAGGATATCCACCTCATTCTCGGAGCATTCGTTTAATTTATATCCACATCTGTAAGTTTCGCGCAGCATACGACACATCGCTTTTCTTTACACGCGTAATGACAGTTACATCGTGGGCGGATTCATCCATGGGACGTGCTTTGAGTGGTTCTCGTTTCTTTTTTGCCTTCCCCCAGTCGGAATTATTGCACGTGCCACTCTGCGCTCTGACATATTATTATCCACTCCAATGCTGGAATGTACATGATTGGTCTGAACAGACCATATCATTTGGGCTCAAAGCTGATCGGTAAATGCCGAGTTATCATCCGCGAATGCATCGGTCTGAGACGCTGAGCTTCGCATTATCCTGACATTATCTGGAAGACTTGAGGCAGATGATGTCCTATTGCGACCTGAGACTGGCCGTTGGAGAACGCTATGCGTGCACGATTCATTGACTCGAGTACGCCATCTGATCGATGTAATGCTCGATGGTCTGAAATCTGGAAAATGCTCGAAATCGGCATTGGTAGTCATTCAAAGTAGGGACATGTCCAGCACACGAGGTCGTAACCATTGCTCGCGACTCTAGCACTAGCAACTAAATAGCAGCCACTGCATCCCTTCAACAACCGTCCAAGACGCGCCACACGTCGTCTCTCGCAGAGAGGCCCACAGTGAGATCCAGCACGACGCGCACATCTAACGGATGCACGGACTCGAGATGCGCGCAGAGTGGCGCGTAGTATGCGAGCGCATCTGCACGGGGGAGTGACGAAGTGAACACCTGACTGCGAGAGATGAGCTGAGTCAATTGCACACAAACACACACGCACATTGTGCGATCATCCTCCCACCGCTCAAGACAAGCCACACAGGACTTCGTCGGAAAAAACCAATCGATGTGGGCTGGGAGGAGCACGTCCTCTTCCTCCGTCTTGTCGTTGTCCCCCACGTGCATCACCCTGCACAGCTCCGGGTCTATCAGTCGACCGTCCGAACCTTGACCGCCCTCGACCTCATTCTCATCGTGCAACTCGAGTGTACTAATTTCCCGGTAATAAACCTCTAGGGCATGGACTGCGGCGTCCCAGTCCACCTCTGGGTCATCCAGATGCTGCTTACACACAATCAGCAAGTTCACCAGCACACCCGGCCAGATGGACTTGTGGTTATGACTCTGCGTTGTGAGTGAATATCGAACACATCACCAAGCATATAGGACAACAAACACACCAATTTGGCATTGCGCCGATGGCCAGCCACGACAAGTCCCAACTGTTTGTCCGGAAATTCGAAGGCGATGCTCTGAATCTGAAAGTGGCCAGGTGTGGTCGGTGAAGGACCCACTATCGCCGGCACCATCGTCGGATATGCGACAGTCTAGAGGAAGCTTCAACGGATTCCATACATGCATGAAACCATCTCGTACCTGCGATTTCTCCAGCTCGCGGGTAGATACTACATTAACGAGCTCAGCCTCGGTACCAGTTGCACCCCCAATGACATCCGCATCAGCGATCAATTTACTGGCTCCAACACAGTGGAAGTCGATAAGAACTGCGGGGTTCCCATCGTCGGAGCCTGTGGGAGCATTCCCATGGGTCATCACCAGCTCCGAATCCGGGTCCACAACGAGCGCCGCCGACTTGGGTTCCTGACGCATCTTCTTCCTCGCTGTCATCGGTCGAGAGTGAGTCCCTGTATTGGTAGCGGAGACTGCGAGCTGAGGTTGAGCGGAATCCGTGTCCAAGATCACCGGGCTGCACTGACGCTCGAGCGGCTCCTCGTCATCCAGATCCGCATCGATCACCCACTCCGATTCCGACGAAGCAAATACGACCGCCTTCGTTTCCTTGCGGATCTTCTTACGCGGTTTTACTGCCTCAGAGGTGACGGTCAAAGCCACAGTCCCGTCTCGAACCGTTGACCCCGTCTTGGCTGCCTTCCAGTCGGTGTTGACATTGAGCTCCTCGTCGTCCGGTTGCATATCCATGGAGACAGTCCGCGGTTTGAAAGTAGACGCCTGCTGTGTCCGGGCTCCAGACTTGGACCTAGCTGCATGAGATCTGAGATTCCATTCAGTTGCTGGGACGTCAGACTCGGCATCCGTCGAATCCAGACGGAGCAGACGAAGCGTTTGGGGTTTGGAGGAAGTGGGTTCGGATTTGGACTTGAGCCTGAGCACAAGCTCATCTCCATCTTCGTCACTCGACTCCGGTGCGTTGTCTCGTACTCTACGCTTGTTTCTGTTCGGGATGCGTACCGGAGACGAGTCAGGATCCAGAAAGGCGTTGCGTCTCTGGTCGTGCACGTCCTCATCTGAGAACAGTCCGACGAGATTCAAGGCAGGGCCATCTGCTTTCCGCCTGCTCTTCTCGCTCCGGGCGACTGTCGGCGTGGAACTTTGTGTAGATTTGAGCTTGGGATTGGGCTTGAACTCGAGCTCGAACTCAGATGAGGATGGTTCGATGGGGTTTGCACTGGGTACGAAAATCTTGGGCGCAGCTTTGAGATTGGGGACGGCTTTCTTCTTCTTTGTTTTCTTCTTGTTCTTCTTCAGTTCTAGATAGAGATCGCGAACGACCGGACCCTTGACCGGAACGAACCAGAACCTTGCCGCATAGCTAGACGCATTCTCATTCATCTACATCCTCCCGGCCGAGAAAACGTACCTCCAAAGTCGGTCTTGCCAGCCCGTAACATTAGCCTTGATCGCTAGCCGATCTACGTGCTGCCCTACAGCTCGTAACGCCACTCGCAAAGCTCGCGCACGTTCCTTCCGACTCGTATTCGGCGCGCCTTTGAAACTGAGCTGCAGATTGGTGAGCGCAGTCTCAATGTTGGTTGCCACAGCATACCAACTCCTGCAGCACAGGCTTCATCGCTTCGCAGGCCTCTACATCTTGCCCCTCCTCCTCCCCTTGTTCCTTCCTTTGCGCCTCTGCAGGTCCCAAGACGCCGGCCTTCAGCCTGAACATCCGTCCCGTTGGCCGGTCCGCATCCGAGTCTGAGCTACTTGGGATGAAAAGCCTCCTAGTCGGCGGTGCTGCTGGCGAGTCAGACGGTGGTATAACTGATACCCTCGGTGCACTTTCGGAGAAGTCCCCAGTAGTCTTGCTCTGGCGCTTTGATGTAGGTTTCGCAGTGATGGAACTTGGGCCCGCCCCTTTGAGCTTCTCCCTTTCTTTGCCGTTCCCATTTCCCTTGCTGAGGGTCAGTGGCGAAGCGGACCTGCTCACTGCTAGCCTCGCCCTCTTCCGCGGTGGCAACGAAGCCGGTGTTGACATCGCACCGTCGTTCATGTGTCGTCCCTTGCGCTTCTTCGGCGTGATACTGACCGGGTGTGTGTCCAGATCCTCCGCGGATTTAGTCTGAGGCCATAAAAGATGCAGTGTTTCCTTGCGAGCGGGTTCTTTCGGCTGGCTGACTGATGGTGTGGGCATCGGTGCGACTTGGGGTATTTCGGGTTCCGCCGCTGGCTCAAGTCCACGCTTGGACTTGGCTGCTTTAGCATCGACCCACCTCTGATGCTCCCTGTTGCGCTTTTCCCGACGTGCGTCTTCCTCAAGCATGCTGCGCACGATCTCCGTCGGAGTTCCAAGCACTGCGGTTGGTGCGTGTCAGTACAGTCGTCATTCGTTCACAGATTGAAGGGAAGGAAACAGGGGATAAAAGGAGACAAGGACGTAGTCCCCAACAGTCGGTACGCCCGGATTATACCCAAACACCACCAACCACGTAACCAGAGATCGAGTCATAGAAAGAATGGAAAGCAGGAGTTGAGAGACAAAGGAAGAAACGAAAGGAAAACAAGCAAGACAAGCCACTTACCCAACTTATGCAGCACATCGCTCTTCCCTGCCCAACCGGCGAGCCCATCACCGCGGATCCACAAGACGTGTGTGGCGCCGTGCACCGGGTGCTCCACCGCGCTGGGGCCAGTAAGGGACTCCGGCCCGCGCCAGCGGTGCCACGAGCTGCCATTGGTGGTGACGATGCCAGGGTCAGCAGCCTTATCGACGAACGCATACACCGCGAACGCCTTCGTGTCGATCCAGACGTCGCCCCTGGAGAAAGCTGACGAGGCGGATGTGGACGTCGCGCTGGGCGGGGGACCGGCGTATCGGTACTCAGTGTACGGTACTTCCAGTGGTGTCGATACGGTTGTTGCTGCATTCGACGAACGGGAAGATGCTGTCGGGTTGGAACATGCCGATGCGACGATGAACGTGCGAGCGATGGTGGTAGGCTCCGAGCTGCTAAGTTTGGGTCCGGGGGATGCGTTCATGGGACCTAGAATGGATCTCGTGTGAGTCAGAAGGAAGCAGAAAACGCGTCGTCCTGTTGAAGGGAACGAAACAAACGAAACACGACGTCCTTGCGATATCACACGATGCCGTATTGGTTTGGTAAAGGGACGATCTGGAGAACTCACTAACTTCTTTGTGGCCCCTGGCGTGAAACTATCCCACCCGCACCGTGCACTGATACACGTGCACTCTCAACACCCGCGGACGCGTCCAAGTTGCAAGTATGATGCGAGTCGGAGGCTAGAAGACACGCCGCTGAGGTGACTGATGGTTATCCGTGACGTGACGCCTTGCCCACTTGAACGGTTAAGGCCCCGATCGGTGCACTGCTTTGGGGCAGTTGCCTACCAAGCAAATGCTTCGGAGCTCATCGGAGCACTTCGGCTTTAGGCCAAGGCAAACTTAGCAACGCCTGAGGCATTCAGTCACATATTGTCACAATGTACATAGCAAACAAGACACACCTTTTTGTGATCTCTGCGCCATGCTGCGACGAACACGAGCCCCGATGCGCCGCACGGCTACCCAACCCAGTCCCGGGTCCACGACGGCAGCATCATAATCAACTCCCCAAGCACATTCCCTGCGCTTCAATGCTCCAGGCTTTGGCTCGGTGGGGGCATCCTGAGTTGTGGTAGACTGTGTAGAAGATAGAGAGTCCTCGGTAGGGCCTGTGCTCTCGATGTCGGCCATGTTTTTGGTAGAGACAAACCGCTATATCATCTCGACCATAGGTTGATTGATTTTTTAAAAAATGAAATGTTTTCCTTTTTGAATTTCTATATTACACAGCGTGACACCAACGCAGGCAATCCCAGCTGCAAGCAATACGTTACCGAGCACCTCCAACAACGCAATCTGATCAATCATCTGCCGGAACGCCCTCCATCAAGCAGTTGCCTTGGTTTTGGCTCTAGGCAGCTCGGCAAGCAGTGCACCCGATCGGGGCCTAAGCTGAATTCAGCCTGGCGGGCGAGCCGGCGCCCGGAGTGGTTTCTGCTTTCTTCGAGAAAATCGAAAAACTCTAACCTGCTCAATTGCAAGGGAGATACTGTACCGTTTGGAATCAAGCTTGACCTAGCTGAAACGTCAACCTACACTAAAACTTTCTTGATCTGTTCTGTGGCTTCCTGAGGCATTCATCTAAATGCATATCGTAGCTTTGAATTGAATTTGGAAAATGCTTCTCGACTACACTGACAGTGGTTCGGTTTTTCCCATTCGAGTGCTCTCGCGCATGTGATTGATTACTGCCTCGGGCTGGAAAGCTGAGGGGCCGACGTTCTTTTTGAAGGAGAGAGACTTCTGGATAGACTCTGCTTTTTTTTTCAAGCTAATACGCACAGATGAGACGAGGCTTGGAGATTGAAGATTGATCGGAATGGACCCTTGACATAGTCGGATCAGATCAAGCAGAATTTTCGACTCCGATCGAACATTACCGAATCTGCTGCACCGCCTCCATTCAATCAGCGAAAGTGTTTCCACGTTTGTTCAACTCGGTTGCGTTGGGGGTTTTCGACTCGAATGGCGGACCTCATGACGGACAGTCCACTGGGCTCACGGACCCCGAGCCCCTTCTCTGCGCTCTCCGTCCTCGACGCTGAGTCGGTCTCGGTGGCAGGGGCGTCCTCGGTCTCAGAAGCCAGGTTGCCCGTGGTCGCGCCCACCGCCTCGACGACAGCGAGCAGCGGCTTCTACCGCTCCGATGCGACGTTCAACCCCACCGTAACGCCCTTCACCTCCACTGCAAATGCGGACCTCACGAGCCGCGTCGCGCGCATGGCATACCGGAGCGTCCCGCCGTCCGCGAGTGCGGCCGGGGGGAAGATGGTCACCCTCTTTGACGCCGCGATACCGAAAGCCCCGATACCGCCATACGACGGGACGGTCATCCACCCTCCTTTCAAGGCACTGCCCGGCGGATTTGCGGTCCCCGACGGGCTGATGAGCTATACGATCATGCACGACCACCCGACGTGGTACCTGGATGTCGAGGACTACGTGACGCTCGATGCGCCGGAAGGGACGATGATGGGGCAGAGGATGGACGGGCCGATGATGCGGGTGCGGTATCCGAGAGATCTCGAGCCGCCACGGCCGAAGAGGCAGAAGGAGCTGCTCCTACGCTGCACGTTTTGCCCCAGAACATACGCCGGCGTGAACGCGAAGAGCATGTGGACCAGACATGTGAGGGAGAAACACAGGGTCGTGCTGAGCAAAGCATGGGTGGATTCGGCCACGTCGATCAAGAGAACACCCGCCGGTATGTTGTCTTCACCTTCTCCTGCTGGACGAGTGGTTGGGTGCACGTGACATCGATTTGCTCTGACCATCCATCTGTTTTTCTTGCAAACGTTTGCCCTCACTGAACGACCTTTTCAGCAAAAAACATTACACCTGCCCCACACCCAGCTGCTGACGAGGCCCCAGTGATCAAACCTGGTACGTAATCAACATCACGATCCGTGTTCAACTTTGCCTTATTGGTCCGAAAGTAAAACCGCCAGTGGGTGAGAGGACGGTCGATACATCGCTAGACTGCCTTCTCATTTTTCCTAGCCAAAGCCGTACCGCCCCCGCCACCTCTTGTGTTGACTATCCCAGCGCCTCCGCCTCGAGGTTCGACGGTCTTTCTCTTTTGCGCGGTGTCCTGCTCACGAACATCAACTTCAGGGAAACCAGGCCCGAAACCCAAGGTCAAGACAGGCCCGAAGCCAGCCCCAAAGCCAGTCTCAAAGCCGGCTGTCAAACCGGGCCCGAAACCCGCCTCGAAAACAGGTCCGTTCTGCCTGTCTTGCCCCCTGTTCATACCTCATGTGCTGCAGTAAAACCGCTGGCATCGCCAGCGAAGCCGAAGAAAGACAAAGAGAGACCGACCGGACAAAAGATCATCATCCCGGCCCGGCGAGCGGTGGCACCTCCCGAACCACCGGTAACACCGAAAGTGGTCTATGTTGCAAGTACGACATCGCCGCGGGATGTGCCGTCGTCGCCTACACTGCGCCCGACGGCCGTCGTGGCTCCGGTGCCTCCTGAGCCGCCAGAGCTGTGGGTGAAGTCGCTCTCGCCACCGCCACCGGAAGGGATTTTACCGCCGAGACTGCGAGCCCGACAAAGTCTGGTCATCTCTGCAGAAATCAGGGTGTGTCGCAGTTTCTTTTTTTACTACTCTTTCCTGAGCGATTGTGACGTCATTCGCGCAGGAGGAAAGTTCTCCTTCGACCCAGGATGGGATGGACGTCGATCCAACCGAGAGTTTCATTGCTCAGTCGGACGATGACATGGACATGGATCTCGAAGACGACGAAGACGAAGTAGAGGCCATCGTGCAGGATACATCTGCCGACGAAGACGAGGTGGAGAACGAGGACGACGATCCATTCTCCTTGTCTTCGCTCTTCTCGCTCTCTTCTCGGCCACACGTGATCTCCTTGGCGGCCGATGATGTTACCGAAGACATCGAATTTCTGGACCTGGAAGCGGCACCGGCTTCAGATTCCGAGCCGTCTCCGCTGGGGCTCCTCAAAATCTCGTCGATGAATTATCTCATTGACCGGGCGCTCGTGGTTTCCCCTCCCCCGAGCCCAATTCTTCCTTTCGAGCGGGATTTCACTCCCGAATTGGGCTCGAGAGAACTGCACACGCGGGCTCTCGAGGCACCCGCTACCGTCTTGCAGCCAATGGACTCCGATGATTTAATCGGGTTGAAGGTGCAGAACATGGATCCGGCGCTCAAAGCCAGACTTTGGAGTCATCTCGGAGAGCAACTCGGTATCCAGCCCAGCGATGTCGCAGGACCCGGTAAACGGGACGAGCCTGCGAGGCCTCCTCCGACCTCGCCCCCGTCGCTCGTTGATCATAGCATGTCTGTGCCTCCGGCCCATCTGGACCCCGACATCGCCGCTCTCATCACCGGATTCAGACAGCGCACAATGACTGGCTTTGAGATGGATCTTGCGGCGCAGGCTCAGGCGATCCTTGGACAAGTCGCGGATCAAGTCGTCATTCCACTGCAAGCGATGCTGACTGCGCAGCTGAAGGACGCGGTCCTTGGCTCGGGAATGGGCGGGCTGATGGCCCATGCACTGGCTGTACAGGAGGAGGAGGGCGAAGTCGAGTTCGAGTGGAGAAGGCGTGTTCTCGAGCGGGAGATGCATGTGCTTGGTTATGAGCTTCTTGAAGAGCAGGATGAGGATGAGGAAATGCCGCTGGCTCCGATGAATGAGTTGTCCGCTGTCGCTGGATAATAGTCCGCGAACAGCCTCTTTGTTGCTCACTAAGTATAATAATTGAATGTAATGTAGCAAGTAGTCCTTCTCATTGTTTCCACTGTCGCTCTCCCTCGCACAGCGCGCAGTTCTGTTTTTGAATCCGGGTTGCTGAATAATTTTTCGTTGGAACACATCTGCTGCCTGCGTCCTATACGAAACAGTTGTGTTTTACGCCTCGAAAATTTACCGATTGAACCAAAGTGCTGTTGTTTGACAGTTGTATACGAGCAAAGAGTCAAATGCTGTGTTGAGGGAATAAGATGGCCTGCCTGCCTTTATCTTCCACAAACCCTTTCGAACCTGAACTAGAGTCGCTGGATTTTCCCCAACCCAACCCGGCGCTTTCCGTCTATTACGCTGGTCTAGACCCTCGGTTTGTTCGCCCGAGAACCAATCACGTCGCCTGTCAGGTCCACGCCCAGGCCACGTGGCCGCGTCGACGAGCGAGCGACAGCAGCGCCGCACTGCCACACGCCCGTTTTCTCTCTCTCTCAACCGTTGCCATCGGGCAACATCGTCACCCCCTTCACCCCAGTACAGCCATGGCTGACGGAACTCAGCAGCAGCAATCCTCCTCTTCGCGGCTCGACCTCCGCGTGGGCAACAAGTACCGGATGGGCAAGAAGATCGGGGCAGGCTCCTTCGGTGCGTCGTCTCTCCCCTCCGTCCGGGCTGTGTGCCGTGCATGCATGCCACCCGCGCAGGTGCTGACGAGCGTGCCGGTTGACGCAGGTGACATCTACATGGGCGCGAACGTCATCTCCGGCGAGGAGGTAGCCATCAAGCTCGAGCCGGCCGCCGCGAAGCATCCGCAGCTGCAGTACGAGGTGAAGGTGTACAAGGCCCTCGCGGGGGGAGCCGGGATCCCCTTTGTGCGGTACTACGGGACGGAGGGCGACTACAACGCGATGGTGATGGACCTGCTCGGCCCGTCGCTCGAGGATCTGTTCAACTTCTGCGGGCGCAAGTTCACGCTCAAGACGGTGTTGCTGTTGGCGGACCAGATGGTGTGTGTATGCGTCCTCCCCTCCGCGGCCGTTTCTTCCTTGCCACTCGTCCCTCGCTGACCCCGCGGGACCAGATATCGCGCGTCGAGTACGTGCACTCGCGCAACTTCCTGCACCGCGATATCAAGCCCGACAACTTCGTCATGGGCCTCGGCCGGCGTGGGAACCAGGTGCACCTGATTGATTTCGGGTTGGCGAAGAAGTTCCGCGATCCGCGGTCGCACCTGCACATCCCGTACCGGGAGAACAAGTCGCTCACCGGAACCGCGCGGTACGCGTCCATCAACACGCACCTCGGTGTCGAACAGGCGAGGAGGGACGACCTGGAAGGGCTGCTTTACGTGCTGATCTACTTCCTGCACGGCGAGCTTCCGTGGCAGGGCATCAAAGCCGCAACGAAGAAGAACAAGTACGAGAAGATCATGGAGAAGAAGATGACGACGACTGCCGAGCTCCTGTGCAAGCGGCTGCCGAAGGAGTTTGTCGTGCTGATGAGCTATGTGCGGGCGCTCCGATTCGACGAGACACCCGACTACGCGTACATGAAGAAGGTGTTCCGGGACCTGTTTGTGCGCGAGGAGATGAAGTGGGACTACGTGTTTGATTGGAGCGTGCAGCGGCCCGAGAAGGAAGCGAAGGACAAGGATAAGCGGACAGCCGATGATCGAGCTCGGAGACACCTGAACGATTCTCTCCTGCCTGCCGACACTCAGAGACGGTGAGTCGCTTCGTTGGCATTCTAGGCATGTATTGTGCGATACTGAAACCCCCGTCAGACACCGTGCGACCACGAGAAATACCCAGCGCACGGGCGAGGGTTGGTGATCGGGCGACAAGCCACGGTTTTTCTTTTTCTGGTTGCATGCCTCCCGTCCGTTTATTCGTTGATCTCGGCTCCACCATCCCCGAGTCAATCAACTCGCCTCCCGAGGCGCCGGGTCGAGTCTCCACGGCGTTGAGCCGACCCACGCCAGATCCAGATCCGCACTCGCGTTATTGGCGAGCGTACATTACATATGATACTCATACATAGATCCCCTGCCCCTCCCCATCCTTCCGGCATCCATCCATCCATCCATCCAGCTTCCTCTCCTTCCAGCTACTAATCACATGGAGACATCATTCGTGGTGTCGATCTTGTTGTACTTGTTCTAGCCAGTGACATAATGGTACCCCGTGCGTTCGCACGTGTTTTGTGCTCCTTTGCATGTCGAGTTTGCTTCTCGAGCATCTATTTACGCCGGATTGGGTGGTGTATGTGTTGCAACGAACAGAATGTGCAGGTGGCTCGGTGCCGCCACCGAACACCAGGCACGCATCCCATCCGTCTGGAATTTCTCGTCAAGTCCGGGGAAGTCACCGACTGGCAACTGTTGGCGACTGCTCATGACAGACTGGGGAACCCTTGTCAAGGTGCTGGATGGTCCGACCGTAGATGTTAAGTCGAGCATGACTGACACATCTGGATGGAACTGGAGAACCTGTTGTTACCAGCACAGTCTCCGGCAGCCAGCCGAACTCTAACGAGGAGCCCCAGGATGCGTCGAGAAATTCTGGGCTGAGGGTCGAGACCGGGTTGTTCAGGTCTGCACCCGTCTAAACAAAGATGAGTCTGCTGTGCGAAACGGGAATAATGAGATCGCCATGAAGGTCCAGCCTTAAACTACATTGGAAAAGACGCGGTTAAATCTTAGAAACAAGACTCAACCGGCAAGTCGAGTCGGAGATGAGGACCGCCAAAGCTTCAACCGCTCACACGTGATGAATTATGGTCGGAACAATGATGTGATCGGATCAGAAATCTAGATCAGCAATCACCACGGCCTTATCGCTTCGACTCTGCCCTCAGTCATTCTGCGCCAACAAACGCAGAGCTCCTTCGTCCTCTGAGTCATTCACGGGGAAATTCTCACATGTGCTTTTGAAGGGTCAAGATCGGTGGCGCGCCACGTGTTGATATCGATGGCCAGGCGAATCCTCGTTGATAAATGCTGGCCGCCAGCCATTATCAACGAGGCGCTCCTTCTGTGGCGGAGGTTGGCCGATGGGGGAGTTCGGGTGTGCATGCACGAGGTGCTTGGGGGGTCAGCTCCCCCCCACCGATCTCTCGCTAATCGACAGGCTACGTCCGACTTGTTTCGCAGTGCATGTTACACCGGTGTTTCGTGCTACACCGCATCATTCTCATTGCTTCAGCCCACGCTCCGAATACCTCGAGGTGCGAGGGAGTGACCGGGGACGGGGCCGAAGCGGTTTGTGAGAGCTGGACAGCCTAAAGCAACACGGACGGACAGTGCACGCCGCAAAGCCTGGCCCCGCTCCGACTCACTCATCGGGTGTAGATGGAAATACTCGGAACGATCGTTTCAAGGAATCCACGGGACGCAATCAATCGGCTGCTCCCATCGACTGGCGACGACGCACTCTGACTCTCCGAATCGCCGGCCAGTCAGGCTTGCAGGACCGATGCTGTGCAGATGAGCCAACGCGTGCCGGCGCTTCTGGTTGCGCGCGTCCTGTCATGCTAGCCCTCACTGTCTGCTTGTCGCATCTAAATCCCGAGTCGTCGATATTGCGCAGGAGCGATCAGTGTGGAAGATCAGGTCAGCCTGTCCCTGACTCCTCTGCATGCGCCCGGTCAGTCCCAGTGCGCCCCTGATTATTACGCACGTCTTGGGTTGTGGGCACCTAATAAGGCTGGGATGCACAGGTATTCGGCCCGGAGCGTCGTTCCGATCGAGTAGTCTATGTAGTCGGCTGCGCTATTGTTGGCAGGCCTGATTGAACGCCGTCGGGCGATCCAATTGAGTTGGCAGCGCACTACAGCTATGTTACGGTACAAAACGGTACATAAGTGACTTACTCATGGAGAAGAAAATACCGCAAAACACGCGTCGTGTGCCAATTGCCACCGGGCGCAGCCGCAGCTTATTCAGCTCCTATGTAACTGATTCCGATACTTGCTCAGTCGCCGCCGAGAGGCAAGGGGACGATCTGCGTGAAACAGCGCCGGCTCGGACCCTGCAGGAAGAGACCCCAGGCTGTGTGAATTTCTGTCGCGTCGACCGGCAAGTTCGCTCCGAGAGCCGGTCTCTGGTGTCGCCGTGTCAATCTGGCGAGATGTTCACATATCAGTCGACTCCCGCCTTTTCCATCTCCCCGTCCTAGCCTTGGCGGCGTGGAATAATTTGTCCGTTGGGTTGTCGAGGGCTCGTCCGGCCCCTGAAGCTGCGGTAATTGCAATGAAAGTTCTGGTCCTCCTGAGACTCACGCGGGAGTAATCAAGGCACCGCGCGACCTCGCAGACGCCCGGCCCCCCCGTACATTGAAAAAATGGCACGACAGGACTGTGGTCCTGATCTGTCCTGATCGTGTCTTGTGTGTCATTTCGGGTGGGTAAATACGGCAATCAGAGACAGAACATCACGCATGTGAATATCAAATGACAAAACGAGTGCGGGGTCCCATGGGGTCCGGAGCTATCCACTCGCTTCCTGATGCAAAGGTAAATTACTTACAGCATGCTGCTGGCTGGTGGGCCTTTCTACAAGTTCGTTCGAGGAAGGGAGGCGAGGCGCTGGTAAAGCGAGTCTCCATCGTTTCAGTCAGTCAGTCACACGCAGAGGAGGGCGATCGCGCGAGACTGTAAATTCTGGTGGAGCCGCGATGTTCGCGCGTGCCCCTGTGTGTGCCTGCAACTTCTGCGTTCGCAAGGAGATACCTTTTACCTTGCCCACCGTTGCCGTTGATTGCCCACCTCGTGATGCCAGGCCAAGTCTGCACGGACGGCCTGTCACTCGCTCGGGCGCCTAACATTTTCTGACTGGTGAGAGGAGAATAATGAAAAAAAAACTGCGATCGCTGGAGGAGCTGGGACGAAAACGCCGGTCGTGCACGGGGTTTCGCAACTGGCGATATGCACATTGCACAGCCAGGCACAGCTGTCGGAGCGGAACTTCTGGTCTCGCCCACGGTCGTTCGGCTTTTCGGGCATCGAGGAACAAGCAGATGCATTTTGATCTTGCCGGGAGACCCGACCGGAGCCCTCTGTGGCGCGCGCAAGATCCGCTGCCGAGCTAGCTCAGGCCTATGTCTGAAGGAACGGCCTATTGCCCCGCATCCGATCCGAACCAATTCGACGGGGGTATCCGCCAGCGGATGACTATGGGCGGCGCGGGCCTAGCTCCCCCCCTCCCCCAGCAACGAAAGGTTGGAAGTGCGCTAGATTCTGACCGGATATCGATCAAACAAAATGTGATGCGTGATGATCTGGGAATTTTGGCCATCTGCTGACCTCCTGTCATCCCCATTTGGTGCGGGGTCAATTCAAATCTTCTGAAACCACCATGCGAATCAAAGGGGTCCCCATGGGGTCCCACGTCCTGTCAGAAAACCTTTCCTTCGTATAAAGGCCGCGACTGAATGGCTGGGTGGCCCGTCGTCGAGTCCCACTCTCCGTCTGCGCTGCTGCCTCTGCTCAACAGTCTTGCGCTACTACCCAACTCAACGCACACGAAATGGCTGGTGGACCCTCAGGTGGAACTGAAGGAGGGATTGCGAATGCATCCCTCGGATGGGCGATCATCATGAGCGCCTTCGCCGGTGAGCCTGATGCGCTTCTGTTCTCGCCCTCCTCCATCTGACCCGTGTCTGCTTCTCAGCGTTCGGCGGTATCCTCTTCGGGTATGTTTCTCCGTGCTTCTTCGTTCGCCGTTGCCGACATCTTGTTGCAGATACGACACTGGCACAATCGGAGGTGTCATTGCCATGCAAGACTGGCTGAATGTCTTTGGTACGCTCGACACCACGGGCCAGCTGGGCAAGGACACCCACGGTCGGTACATCACCACGGCTGACAAGAGTCTCGTCGTAAGTTCATCAGCGCAGATGGCTCGCTGGATTTCGCGCTGATGCTTGTCAGGTCTCCATTCTGTCTGCTGGTACCTTTTTTGGCGCTCTCTTGGCATTCCCGATGGGTGACCGCGTCGGTCGCAAGAACGGTCTCATCGCCTCTGTCATCATCTTCTCGCTCGGCGTTGGTCTGCAGCTGGACACCCGCTGGGCTACTTTCGTCGTCGGCCGTGGTGCGTTGATGAGCATTCCTGCCATGTCTCTGTCTGGTGCTGATTGCTTGCTTGTCCGTCAGTCATTGCTGGTCTCGGTGTCGGACTCGTCTCCTGCTTGGTGCCGATGTACCAGTCCGAGTGCTCGCCCAAGAGCATCCGTGGTCTGATCGTCGGATGCTACCAGCTGGCCATCACCATCGGCGCGCTCCTCGCCGCCATCGTCCTCAACTCGACCAAGAACCGCGCGGACCACTCCGCATGGCGCACGCCCATCGCTGTCCAATTCGCCTGGGCCTTCATCCTCGGCGGCGGCATGGCCCTGCTGCCCGAGTCCCCGCGTTACCTCGTCCACAAGGACCGCATCCCCGCCGCCCGCGCCGCGCTTGCCCGCCTCACGAACACCTCCCCGGACTCCCCTGCCGTCGATGCTGAGCTGGCAGAGATCAGTGCGGCGCTGCAGGAGGAGCGCTCCCGCGGCAGTGGCTCGTACATGGACTGCTTCCGCAACAACGAGATGAAGAACGGTCTCCGCACCTGGACTGGTATCATGCTCCAGGGATGGCAGCAGCTGACCGGTATCAACTTCATCTTCTACTACGGCACGACGTTCTTCCAGAGCGCCGGCATCGGCAACCCGTTCATCATCACGATCATCACCGACGTCGTCAACACCGTCATGACCATCATCGGCATCCAGCTCATCGACCGCGTCGGCCGTCGCCGGCTGCTCCTGATCGGCGCCGCGGGTATGATGTTCTGCGAGTACATCGTCGCGATCGTCGGTGTCACCGCTGGGCAGACCAACGCGACCGGCGGCGCGGTCAACATCGCCGCACAGCGCGTTCTGATCGCTTTCGTGTGCTTCTACATCGCGTTCTTCGCCACCTCCTGGGGCCCCGTCGCGTGGGTGATCACGGGCGAGATCTTCCCGCTCAACATCCGTGCGAAGGGCATGTCGCTGTCCGTCGCGTCGAACTGGCTCTGGAACTTCGCGATCGGATACGCCACGCCCTACCTCGTCGACACGTCCACCAAGGGCCAGCCGAACGGCGTCGCCACCGCCGCGCTGCACGTCAAGGTGTTCTTCATCTGGGGCTCGACGTGTCTCGGGTGTCTCATCTTCACGTACTTCTTCATCCCCGAGACGAAGGAGCTCTCGCTCGAGCAGATCGACCTGTTGTACAAGGAGTCTTCCGGTGCGTTATTCCTCCTGCTCTCTTGCACGTGTATCGTGTGCTGACATTCCATACCCAGTGCGCAACTCGAACAAGTACCGCCAGCAGATCCTCGCCTCCGACAAGACCTTTGCCCACGACAAGGCCTCGTCGTCGCACGACGACCACTCCGCGGAGGTCAAGGTCTAAGCAGTGCAATAATCCCCACGTTTTTTTCTTGGTTTTACGATACATTAATGACCTTTATTCGCGATGGGATAACTAAGTCGTCTAGTTGTACTTTTAGCCGCTTCATACCAGCGCTCCCAAAAAAACAAGCATTTTCATCATCATCATCATCCTCATTCGAGTGTCGTGTCTCCTGCTCTGCGGTGATTGCACTGCAGGGTTGAGATGTGTCGATGTAGGTATTGCGCACGCCGTCGGCTTGGTTGGTCGGTTGGCAGCCATCCTAGATTCATGATCACTGTGCTAATCAAAGCCCTGAGATCTGTATGTACCGTTGTTCATTCAATGACCCCATGACAGGTGGAGCGTACAGCAAGTATACCATATACATACCACTGTGTGCGGGGGCTGCAGATCAGATTCACTAGCAGCACTCAGGAGGTGCTCCGTGCGTTCTTGACGAAGCATAGACCCATCAGGATGTGCGAGGTCACCTGACTGACGATCCCCGTATCACCTGTTCTCAAAGCGGGGCAATTGAGACTAATTTGGCACCGAGCTGGAACTGGAACGCTGTGGCTGTGCCGAGAGCCTAGAGCGGGCGTTACCTAGTTAGAGTGTATCTTAGTCATCATCGATCAATCCTCGTCAGAACACCCATCTCCACAGCACCTGCGGGGCATCTGCCGTGGGTCCAAGTTCACACGCGCGTTCCAGAGACGTCTCCACTTGGTGATTGGAGGGAATCCATACCCTCGCCCTGGCACCGGAACCACCGCTATACCTATCAGGCCGACAACTCCGCCTATACGAACGGATCCAAGCCACACACGCACGAGAGAACAACGTGCGAGAAGAACAACGACAACGCCGACAGCTCAGATTAGCACGCAGGCAAGCGACGTCCGAACCTGCCGGTGCAGACGAAGACCAAGCGACCGGTCCATCTCAAGCACAGAGACAATCCGAGACACCCCGGAATCCGCAGACACCCCCAACGTCAGACGACGAAGACAAATACGAAATGGGGCCAAAGACGGAACTTTTCAAAGGGGATGGGACGGCAGAAAAAGCGAACGTCTGGCTGAGACAGCTAGAACAAATGTGGAAGTTCGATGCGAAGGATGATGAAAAAAGATGGAGATTCGAAAGAGCGCTGTACCCGGGGAGCCCCGCCGAAGTTTGGTACAAAGCCCTGCCGGGCACTGACAAGACGGACTGGCCCAAGATCACCGCGGCCTTCGAGAAGAAATGGCCACCACCATCATACACCGCACGGGAGAACTCGGAAGTGATGAAAGACTTAAAAGAAAACGTGCTGGAAGCAAGGACAGTGGGGGACATGGTGGAGGACGAGGATGGGACACGCATCCCTGCCCACCGTGCATGGGCGCAGATCGCAAGACGCCTGGTCAACGACCTACAAGGGGGCGATCCCTCAATGCTGCTGATGGGAGAAATCAGAGCAACGCTACCCCCTGGGTTCTGCCGCCTAATCTCGGAAGAAGCAACGAAGAAGACGTGGGATGCATGGTTTGCAGCGTTCGAAGCAATCTCGATCTATGCCATCAACGACTGGATGGCAGAGAACAGGATCGAGCGACAGGAGGGCCCAACGGCAACCTCGGGTTCAGTGCGCGAGGGCGCTGAATCCATTGTGGCGAACCTAGCGCACGCCCTGGATGTGACCCACATCCTCTCACCGACCCGCCCACGCCACAGACAAACGTTCCAACTGTCAAGCACGCGCATCCCGGCGCCGACATTTACAGCACAAACCCCGCCGGCACAGACGCAGCAACAAGTCCAGCAGCAACGCCCAATGGCAATGCCAACGACGCCGGTACGACAGCTGCCCCCACACATGACGGGAACAAGCCAATGGACGGGAACAACGGTGCGACCCTCCAGCGCATTCGGCAGGGACATCTTCGCCTCGCCCATCAGTCCATCCGCAGGCCGTGGCCCGATCCAGAGCGCAAAGCCCACAACACCACCGCTGGGGAACGAGGAGACGGCGAGGGCGCTGACACAGACCGCCCACCTATACAACAAGGATGCGCAAAGCCTCCGCAAATACCAGATCGACTTCGCTGCCTGGCAAAACGGCAATCAGGACGTGCGGGTGTTCCCCTTCTCGCCAGGAACCCTCCCACCTGGATCACGAGAATGCTACCGATGCGGCCTCCGAGACCCCCCACATGGAGCAGGGAGCTGCGCTGCACCACTTCCGGTGCCAACCGTCGAGTCGAATATCAGGCGGTGGGTTCACTCAGTGATATACCCCCTCGCCAAGCGGGGGCAGTGCCAATCAACGCCATCTTCGGCGAGCTGGACGCAAACGAACCCATTGACTTCGGTGAGCATGGAGAAGAAGAGGAACAGGGAAATGGGGAGGAGCACACCGTATGAGGGGTGGTGTTGCTCCTGACACTCTAAATCCCCCGGAAAGAGACCATTCAGCACGGAGGCGCCGGGAAGTTTTTACGCGGGACGACGATTCGGAAATACCATTTGTATTAGGCCACCCATCGAATACACGGATTCTCGAGTATAGGGCGCCCCTGCCAGCCACCATCCTGAGCGTAGGCTCCAACCCAGAGACCACCGTCGAACCATTCTACCAGCGGATCCGGCTCACCAACGACGACGGGAATATGGTCCGCCTGACGGCACAGATCGATAACGGAGCCATGCGCAATTGCATTTCGGCAGAACGGTGGGCGCAGTACGGGCAATGCTTGGGAAGGTTAACCCCGTCAAAAACGATCCTAAAAGTGGCCAGCGGCGAACGCATCGCACCGAAGGGGCGATGGTGGGGCCAGGTATCGGTAGGCGGCGTGACGACAGGAGCCTGGTTCGAGGTGTTCCATGGTGGCGGAGCCTTCGACGTGATCCTGGGGAAGCCGTGGTTACACAGCGTGCGGGCTGTACACAACTACGGCAATGACGAGATACGCATCATAGCTGCTGGACGTGAGACGACAATCCGAAACGAACCGAGGACCGCACCACAAGACTCCCAGACAACACAAAAGGCGCTCCCAAGAGACGAAAGCGCACCTGTGGAGAAACAAGGACCAGCGACAAAAGAAAGCGACACTGCGAAGGGGGGACTTACGTGCGCCCAACAAGCCCAACCGTCCGAACACAGGGCCGAAACAGGAGACACGAGCTACCGGAGCATTGAGGAGGTAGACAAGAGGGACGAGCGGCCACAAGTAGGGGCCCAGACCAGAAAAGAGACACCGTCGGCAAAAGAGGATACGGAGCCCAGCGCGGGTGACCAGCTGCGAGAGTGGCAGGAATGGAACAGAGACTGCGGGCGGGAAGAGACAACTACGGGGACAGTGAGTGCGCGTGAAATGAGAAGGAGGCAGACGGAGGAAGACGCAACGAGGTGGAGGACAAGAAGACGAGAAGCTTTGGTAGCGGCGTTACGTGGGACATCGGCCGGCAGAACCGACGGGGATAAACTCCACCAATCGGACAGACGACTTCGACACCTCCAGGCGAGGCTAGACGAACTGCGATCCATCTACGCGGAAACGAAGACAGCCACGAACGAGGAATCAACGGGAGCCCTACCAGAAGCTATATTCACGGTGGAAGCGGCCACCAGGCCAGAAGGCTTCAAAATAGACCGCGGAACGAACAAGTCAATACGTGCGACAGACCCCTTCAACAAGGAACGAATCAACAGGATCATTAGTCAAGTCCAAATCGGTCCAGACCTGACTACGGACCAAAGGGAGAAAGTCGTCGCGCTTGTGAAGGAATACGCCGACGTATTTGCGCTGTCAATGTCGGAGGTTCTATTCGTGGACTGGTGGAAACATCACATCGATGTCGACCCGAAGATCAAACTACCTACCCGCATGTCACAACGCCCGCTCACGGAGAACCAGAAATCGTGGTTCTATAACGTCTTGGATGAGATGGAGGAGGCACATGTGATTCAGAGAATACCAGGCGAGTTCCTAAAATGCTTGAACAGTACAAATCTAGCTCCCAAAGATGCAGGCAAGACAGGACTGACAAGAGCGGACATCCTCCGCAAGGTGAACGCGGAGTGTGTAAAGAACGGGATGCCACCCTTCTGGGAGGAAGTTGGGGAACAAACAGAAGACACAGACCGTGGCGACGCCGTTCTGGAAGCAACGGAAGAAGACAAAGGGAAGGGCATCAGGACGACCAAATGGCGGGTCTGTCATGCCTTCACAGCCCTCAACAAGGCGTCTCAAGTGCCACCGTTCCCACACGGCGATATTGGAGCCAAACACCAGTTCGCCGCAGGGCACCGCTGGGCGAGTGTAATCGACCTTGCATCAGGGTACTACGCGGTTCCCCTAGACGACGAGACGGTTCCGTATACGGCATTTTACGTGGAAGGGCGAGGTTATTTCGTATACTTACGCATGCCATTCGGCCTTACAGGAGCTCCAACAACCTTCTGTGAGATGGTTGCCGCCGCGCTGGAGGATATGATCGGTAGAGAGCTTGTCAATTGGATGGACGACATCTGCTTACCAGGTGATGTATTCGAAACTAAACTGACCAACCTGAAGCGCTTCTTCACCAGGTGCCGGGAGAAGCAGTTGTCACTCTCACCGTCGAAAACGAAGCTATTTTTCACCGAGGTCTTATTTGCGGGCGCGGTCGTTGGACCAGCAGGTTTGAAGCCGAACCTGGACAAAGTCGGAGCAGTGATCGACTGGCCGGTACCGGAGAACGTGTCCGACCTAATGAGCTTCCTCGGCATTGCGGGCTATTTCAGGAAGATGATCCCAGCCTTCGCCCGCATTGCAGCCCCGCTCACGGATCTGACGAGGAATGTGGAGGTGGCACCACCTAGCTCGAACTGGCGCGTGCGGAAGGGCGACTACAAGAGAGCCCTGAAGTCAGCGTCAATAAGACACAAGTGGGGCGAGGCCCAGCAACGCGCGTTTGTCAGCCTCAAATGCTTGCTGTCACAAGAGCCAATTCTGAAAACACCACAATATGACGGTCGGCCTTTCAAAATCACAACGGACGGGTCAGCAGAGGGCTTTGCCGGCTACTTAGCACAGGAGTTCCCCCACACGGACAAGAACGGAAAGGTATCAAAACGCTGGCATCCGATTGCGTTCTGCTCCAAACGCACGTCAACGAGCGAAGCTAAGTACGAGCCATTTCTTCTCGAGTTTGCTGCCTTGAAATATGCGCTAGACGAATTCGAGACGTACACCTACGGTTCCCCCATCGAGATTGAGACGGACTGCCAAGCCCTACGTGACACGCTCATGCGAGAGAAGCTGAATGCCCACCATAGCCGATGGAAGGAGTCCATCCTTGCACGCAATATCATTGACATCAGACACAGACCCGGCATTGAAAACCCGGTGGCCGACGCACTGAGCAGGAAGTGGGCGAACCGGGACCGGTCAGAACAGGACGGGTCGTCTTGGTCGGTCCAAGCAGACTGGGAATCACCACACGGGACGACCAGGGACGTGTTTACGGTGGCAGATACACACATGGCAAGTCACCCCCTTCAGACCTTGTTTGCTAACGACCTGTTCTTTGGTCCGGTGGTCGACTATCTACTGGGGTACATGGTCGGGGATTCAATCGCGGAGCGCAGAAGACTCGCGCACCGAGCAAAAGGGTTCATGATCGCAGAGGGAAAACTTTGGCGAGTGGCGGACACGGCAGCGCGCCGAGTAGCGCGGACGGAGTGCATCCCCACAGCGCAGGGCTTCGAGCTGGCGATGAAGGTACACGCACAGAACGGCCACTTCAACGTGGAGAGCACAAAACTCAAGCTCTCGGACCGCTACTTCTGGCCGGGCATGGACACAGACTGCTGTTCGGTGATGCTCGAATGTTCGCGGTGCAAGAGCTTCGGCGCACCAACGCGCAACTCCCTACTGCAACCGATCCGACGCACCCTCCCATTTGCTCTGATTGCAGGCGACTACCTGTCGTTGCCAGACGGGAAGGGCGGCTTCAAGAATGTCGGCCTCTATGTGGACGTATTCTCCCACTTCGTGTGGGGGACGAAACTCAAGTCAGCTGGCACGGCAAAGACCACAATTGACTCGCTAAGTCGCATCTTCCACGAGCACGCGGTGCCTGACGCTTTCATGGCAGACGGGGGTAAGCACTTCCGAAATGACGCGGTCTCGGACTACTGCACGGCCAACAACGTCAAGCATATTACTACGCCGGCATACTCACCCTGGGTGAACGGCCTCATCGAGGGGAGCAACAAGATCCTGCTCAAGATCCTGAAACGGCTGTGCGCACCCGATCACGACACGGACGAAGGGACGGTGGACCCAGAAGACATACCAAGGAACTGGCCCAACCACTTCGAGGAGGCGTTGCGCATGATGAACGACCGGATACTGGTCGCCCTCAAGGCCACACCGAGGGAACTGCTGTTTGGAAGGGTGTTCACTCGGGACCAGGCCATACCGGACCAGCTAAGTGAGACCACCGCAACGGACGCAGACATTCACTTCGCGATAGCGGATAGCATGCGCTGGACAGCACATCTGAGGTCACTCGAACGAGCAGCACAGCAGAAATCAAGCTTCGACGCAAACTCGAAAATCGTCCGCTTTAGGATCGGCGACCTGGTCCAGTGGTATGATTCGGAAGCAGACAACAACCGCCTGTCGGTGAACAAGCTGAAACCACGCTGGTCGGCCCCGGTGCAGATATATGCGCAACACCTGAACTCTTTCTCTCTCTGCGACCTGGAGGGCAAACCGCTAGGGAATCTCCAATTTGTGCATTCACGACGACTACGGCACTACATCCCGCTACGCGATTCGACCCTGGACCAGAAACACCCGCGAGAGGGGACAACAGCAGACCCCACGACTCAGGACCTGGAGATTGCGGCAGCAGAAGAACGGATGGCAGAGGAGGCATGGAGGTCGACTCTCTAAAACCAGTGGGCAGCTGGGGTTGCGCCGGGCAAGTAGGGCCGCAACTGCGGAGTCCAACGCGTGGCGTTTCCATTGATGAGACGGGGGGATATGTCCGAGGGCGGACATCGCTTGAGGGGGGGCACCTGTGGCTGTGCCGAGAGCCTAGAGCGGGCGTTACCTAGTTAGAGTGTATCTTAGTCATCATCGATCAATCCTCGTCAGAACACCCATCTCCACAGCACCTGCGGGGCATCTGCCGTGGGTCCAAGTTCACACGCGCGTTCCAGAGACGTCTCCAACGCTCAAAGTGCCAAGTCGGGAGTCATGTGCACTCCGCCCCGCCTCATGTGATGCCATGCGCAATCGAGCAGGCCAAGCACGCTTTCCTTCTCCGCGCACCGGGTCAAATCGCTGCTAGGCGGTAGGGGTCACGGGACATCTCAAACACGAGGGGATCTATGCGCAAAACGACATGGATTCATGGGGGTCGTCTATCTAGCTGGCACAAATGGGCACTGGTAATCGTGTGACGACGTAGTTTAGGCGACGAACGCCTTGCCCTTTTCGATGTTCTTCTTCAGCTCAGGCAGGCATGCCTCGAGCAGCTTCTCCTCCTCGGCCGACAGCTCGCCAATGGGGAAGATCTGCTCCACACCGTTGACCTGGCAAACGACACATCAGTCGGCTGCCATCAGAGTAGAACACAGAAACGTACACCAAGCTCAACGTTGGACGAGAAGTACTCGATGCCCTTGTCAGCAAAGAGAGGGCTCTTCACGAAAGTAGGTGTGATGACACCCTTCTCGCCGTTCAAGCCACGCAGCACAGCGTTGGCGAACTTGGCGCCCGCGTAAGCCATGGAGAGGGTAGCGCTTCCGGCACCGTCCTTGGCCTTGACAACCTCATCACCACCGAACTGGATGCGGTGCACAATCTTCTCGTAGGCCTCGCCCGCGACGCCCTTGCCGTGGCTGGACTGCGAGAGCAGGGGCACGATCGTCGGTCCGCTGTGGCCTCCAATGACGGTCACACGCGACTCGACGGGGTCCGCGCCGGTGATGCCTCCGAGGAAACGCGCGGCACGGACGACATCGAGTGTCGTGACACCGAAGAGGCGTTTGGGGTCGAAGACACCGGCCTTCTTCAGGGTCTCGGCGACGATGGGGACGGTGGAGTTGACGGGGTTGGAGATGATGAGAACGCAGGCCTCGGGAGCGACACGGCCGATGGCAGTCGCCAAGTCACGGACGATGGAAGCGTTAGTCTAGACACAGAGAGATCAATACTTCGCACATGTCAGAAGTCGAAGTGGGAATCACTCACGTTGAAGAGATCATCACGCGTCATCTAAAGAAGATGATGAGCATGAGAAGAATTCGACGGCGCAGGTCGGGAGGACTTACACCCGGCTAGAATCGGAATCAAGTCAGAACATGGGTATCATTGACTGCATTGAGAACTGCATACCTTTCTCGGAACACCAGCGGGGATGACAACAACCTTGGCACCCTCCAAAGCCGCGTCGAGCTGGTCGGCAGCGTATCCAGTGACCTGCACGGCACGCACCACGTCAGAAGACATACGCGTCGAGACCTCGGGCGAAACGCACCTCGCTCGCGGTGTCAACGTGGCTGACATCGGCAGCAACACCCGGGGCGCCGCGGATATCGTAAAGGCTCAGCGACGACACGAGAGGATCGCTCTTCAGCAGCAGGGAGAGAGGCTGGCCAATTCCTCCTCCAGCACCGAGGACAGCAACCTTGGTCAGGCGAGCCGCTGACGAGGAGAAGAGACGCGACGACGGCGCGGAAAGGGTGCGGAGAGCAGAGCGAGAGAACATGGTGGTAAGGAAAGAGAAATGAAAGCGAGGTTTCTTTAGAGGCCGTTTCTCTCCGATGATGGAACTGAAGGTTAGGGTTACGACGTCACTGCCGTTTCGGAACATCTCTCATCCCTCTCATGGCCACGGATTTCTGGTCCAGCTCACACTAGTACGTGTGTGTTGCGCTCAAGGAGGAGAGGATCTGACAGATCTAGCAATAGATGGATTGTGGATCGGACGACGTTGAGGAATGCGCGTGCTGACGACGTGCAGTACGTGGACGACCCAGAGTACCTGGATTTCCTTGCCATCTATTTCGCAGAGCGTGAGTTGTCCGTGCCCTACTGCATCCTTGACAAGATTCGATTCAACCCTTTCAGTTCTGGCCAAACTAGGCAAGAAACTGAACTTCGTGCAGCGTACGGTGGCGACAGCGACGGTGTTCTTCCGACGATTCTACCTCAAGAACTCCTACTGCGAGACGGATCCGTTCATGGTCGCTGCTGCGTGCTGCTATGTTGCTGCGAAAGCGGAAGAGTGTCCTGTGCATATAAAGACTGTTGTTCACGACGCGAGGCACATCTTTGCCCGTGAGTCTGCACCTTCTCACGAGGACAGTCTGGATAGTATGCATTATAGAGGATCCCTATGGAGTCAAGAACTTTCCTTCCGACAACTCAAAGCTTGCTGAGATGGAGTTTTATCTAGTCGACGACCTGGAGTGCGATCTCGTCATCTACCATCCGTACCGCGCTCTTCTCGCGCTCTGCAAGCCTATGAACTCCACAGATCCGGATAAGGACGACTTTGGGGTCAACCTGGACGACGGGACACGCTACTGGGGCACGGGCGAGGGCCAGCTCGATCTTCCCAGCAACGGACTGCAAACAGCCTGGTTCATCATCAACGACACATACCGCTCCGAACTCTGTCTCCTGTACCCGCCACATCTCATCGCTATCGCTGCGATATACCTCACCTGTGTCTTCCACCCGCCTACGCAGGACTCTGTCGCGGCATCCATCGCCGCAGGGGCTACTGCACCTGAAGCCCCACCCCGTCGATCCTCGCGCCAGTCCGGTGGGGCGGAGCGCAAGAAACCGGCTCCAGATCCTGTCACCTTCCTGGCTGGTCTCAACGTTTCCCTCCCGCTCGTGGCATCTATCGCGCAGGAGATCCTGGGCATGTACTCGCTCTGGGAGCGATATCTGGAGGGCGGCGCGGCGAGCAGCGTCGCCACGACCCCTGCATCGCCGGGCGAGGACGATCCTGTGACGACCATGGTCACGCCGATGACCATCACGCTCGTTCTGGCCAAGATGCGCGAGGCACGGTTCGTGGATTTGCGGGAGACGCAACTTTCGGATGTAGTCCCCAGGAACAGGGTGGTTGAGAGAACGCAGGCAGCAGGATGATGCCCGTTTGTTCGAATTTGTTCATTGTATTTTGACCAAGTGCATCAGGAGAGCTATCAGGAGACAAGGTCGGAGCCCCGCACAATATGAATAGCAGCGTCGCCCATGCGTCTCGCGTCGGGACGATAACGCGCAGCATTACCATGATGCAGAGTATCACTATCCGTGCCTGGGGAATTCAATAGCGGCTCACTTATCGAGTGATGGTCGCCTTGTGGTCCCAAATATCTCTATTCAAGTTCGCGGGTCTCAAGGAGAGATTGTGATTGTACACATGTTGATTACTGCAGATGGCTATGCGATGCTGCACCTATAAAACCCACCCAGAAACCCACCCATTGGCAGCTCTCACTCACACACCTACACCATGCAGTTCTCCGTCTCCCGCATCGCGCTCCTCGTTGTAGCCTTCGCCATCGGCGCACAGGCTGTCCCAGCCGTTGAGAACCGCCACTGCGGTCGCGCGACCTGCACCATCGTTGATGGCGAGGAAGTTTGCATCCCGTGCTGATTCGTGAGTGGACCGGTCAGAAGGCAAGCGGCTGGCTGACGTGCCCTACAGAACCAGCACATGGCTGGCTTACTCAGCGGACACCAGTAGAATTGATAACTTTGTACGAATCGAACTCACTCAAATACTGTTGGAGAACATCGAGTCACGCGTGTGTTAGTTGCCCACAAGTCGTGTGAGAACACCACCTGTAAGTATCTGTCGTAGTGGAAGCTCGAACGTCTCGTCGAAGTAATTGTCTAGGAATTGGTCGCCCACGTGTGATACTTATGATGGTAAATCGCAGACAAGAGATCATTCAGGCAGCGTGCGAGGAACCTCCATCTGGATCTCGTTCACTATGGGCTCGATCTAGGATGAAAATTGACCTAGAATAGGTTACTTATACACTTTCAGTCAACGAGCGGCTGCAGTTAGGTTGTTGTAAAGTCAACCGGCTTGTTAGGTCCATTTTGATCCTAGGCCTTTCAACCTACTGCATGTTGACAATCGGCTACGTATTTTTGCACAAGAATCAATCTATGTACCACTTTCAGGCCCCAACTTGATTCAACCTAGATTAGATTGGAAACCTGTCGCACACTGGGCAACGTTAACTCAACGTTAACTCAATTGTAATTACTTATAAATATTAAGAAGCTGACGCGTTACGCTGGCACATGCACATACATTCAACTGTGCCGAGGTGGCCTGTTATGATCATCTGCCAACGTGTTGTCGAAGGTATCTAGAACGTCTACAATACAGCTTTTGGCAAAATTTAGAGAAGCTCGCGCTTGTTGAGCCCTTTCTCGCCATCCCTTCGATCGCACCTTATACCAGTCACGCTGACTCTGCATCTCATCCAACGCTGCCCATAGTCGACCATTCTCCGATCTCAACTCCTCGAGTTTGCTGGTTTCGGCAGCTGGTGGCCCTACACTGGTAGTAGGGCCATCTACTTCTCTCTCGGACTCTGTATCCATGGCTTGCGGAAGGCTTTAGACAAGAGCAGAGGAAGGACAACTATGCATAAACGCACCGGCTTTCACTAGTGCTGGCTTGACATCAACACTCCTCCGCCGTCGAGCGGTGTTTGTCTTGGGCTGCGATGCCGGTGCCCCCATTAGTCTGTCTATGAACTCTTGCGAATCAGTTTGCGAATCAAGGGCTCCGCCGTCCTTGAAGAGTCTAATGTGAATAGATCAGTTATTAGAGTGGACTCGGACACATGCATGGGAACAATTGTACATACTGTTTATTAGCAGTGATTGCCGCAGACCCAGAGCTCCGGTGAGCGTATCGAGGGGAGTCTTGAGCTTCCAGGGCAGCCTCCTGATGTTTTCTACTTTCTCGACGTCTCCACGTCCGTACGATTTCGTCTTGTTGGCTACCGAAGGCCTCGTATTGATTGCCATTTTCATCGTGGTCCGAGGACGCTGAGAGATACTGCTCCGGGCTTTCGTTTTCATAGATAAGAGCAAGTTCGGTCTTCATGACTATAGTGCCTAGAGAGTCACTCAGATTTCGGAGGAAAGCATAGAGCGTCGAGACTGGGATACAAGAGTCAGAGCACTAGCAAGTCGAGAGAAAATTCCGATCCTTGGTCACATCATGTGCTATGTCACAGGTACCACACGCACGATAATCATGAAAAATTGCAAGTAGTCCCTAGCTCTACTAGTGCGCATCTAAAATACTATCTGCTGCCCACACCGCTCTTGCCAAGGATCCGCTTCGGTCAACTAAAGCCCACTTCCCTTGGGTGTCTCGGACACGTCCAACAAGACATTGCACGCTGGTGATGTCGACCACATCTAGCGCCCCATATCCGGTAAAGTAGTGGATGTCTAGTCCATTCAGTGCGGAATCATTCTTGTCGAGCTTACAGGCACGAATTGCGGCCAGAAAGACTGTTTCCGATGCATCCACTGGGAGGCTTGGCACTGCCATAGGGAACTCGACGGTGTAGATATGCATGAGCTGACCATAGAAAGTTTTCAGGTCGAAGACGATTGCCTTCTTCTTGCTCCGTGCATTACGATCGACCAATATTTCGTACTGTGAACAGGTGCGTCAGTGGCTTGATGTCCCGAACATATAGCCACTTACTCGGACATGGGTCGCATCTCGTGAGTCTTCGGGACTGTTCTGCAGCAAGATTGAAGCCGCATGAATCGTTTCACCAGCCTCGGAATCCACACGCCGAACCTTACCCCATTCACGTATCAGGGCACCTCAGTTACCACCGCCATCACCCGGTTGCACCCCCGCGGGGGTCCTCCTGGGTACCCTCAGACGTAGCTCTGAGGGTACCTAACAGGTACCCCCCTGCGGGGCCCGCGGGGGGATTTGGTCCATTTGGGGGCGGGGGCATATGCGGGGGTCAGCAGGGGGGGGGGTCTGTACATGTCATGTGATTTATCATTGGGAGCGGGCAGGTGGGCGCGAAAAAAAAATGAATCACATGACACATCCAATGGGCGGGATGGCGGCTGATGGCGGGGTAAAAAAATCACGTGATGCACTGCATGAAAATTATCAAAAATGGCTAGCAGGGGTTGGCGGGGGTTGGCGGGGGCGCTACTGGCCCCCCGCACACCATGGCGGGCAGTGGGCGCATTATCACGTGACTTTTGGGGCACCTTTTGTGCACCATTCGGCATGATTTCGGAGGTGTTGCTTGATCCATTGCATGCTGTGGCAGACAATGGGCGCATAATCACGTGATTTTCCGCCCAAAAAAATGGAAGCCTTCCCCAAACCATCCTGGTATCATTTCTATCGGTAAATACACTAGTTAAGCATGAATTTGAGCTTAGAAAGCCCAAAATGCACCCTGCACAATGGGACTGGTGATGCACTTGATCCCATCATTTGGCGGGGTCTGCTGCGGGGGGTGCCACGGGGGGTGCTGCGGGGGGTGCTGCGGGGGGTGCCGCAGGGGGTGCCGCAGGGCCCGCTGTGGGGTCAACCACAGGAGCAGGGGTAGGGGTGCATTGCATCATATTTTGATCTATCTATTCTCGCTGTGGTCATAGCATGCAGCATAATTATCCTTCATTTTGCCAGGAGTTTGGAGGCTGTGTCTGGGGTTGGTCTGCAGCTACAGCCATGTGACTCCCTGATGCTTCGGCAGGGGCTGGGATATCAAAACTGTGCAAATTTACCTAAATCTTTTGGCTTGGCTTGGGGCACTGATATATATGACTTGGTTCATTTTAGCATGGTCTGCTCAAGCTGTCAGGTCAAACTAAAAATTTGAAAAATGTGCAACTTGATTTGTTAGGCAAATCTCCCAAGTACATGCTCCAGGGACAGCCAACATCATCAACAAGAAATGGCTAATGTTTCTTTTCTCTGTCTGTTTGCTTCAGGTAGTCTGTCTGCACTCAAATTTTTCTCTCCATTTGCAGCATATTCCGTGGAGGTGTCATAATTGTTGATTTCCGGATTTCATACTTCTTGTCTACACACCATTTGGGCCCTTTACTGAATCCAATAATACTGTAGACTCTTACAATGGATTGAGCAGGACATTTGTCAATTAAATCCTTGCAGGGGTTGGGGGGGGGTCAACCACAGGGGGTGCCGCGGGGGGTGCCGCAGGGGGTGCCGTGGGGGTGCACAAGCATCTGCCAGCCTACCAAATGTGGATCAACTACAAAATCACTTTCCAAAGCTTCTGTACTGCAACCCAAGTGACTTCTAGGTAACCTTTACCCAATCCCAGTGAAACAACTTCACTGCTCTTGTTTCTGGGTGACAATTGATTTTATGAGCTTGAGTGTGTATGCACCCTTTTTAGTGGGAAATGAGGCCATGTGATGAGAGGTAGGGCACCGAAACATTGTAAAATACTATATTCAACATGACCGGTGGCCCATGTCTCTTCAAACCAGCCCATATCTCATGTTTATCAAGACCCTATTTTTCGGACTCATTTCAAGTTTTTGAATAGTTCCAGGGTCCAGGGCTCTCAGAATTTGTTTCAGACACTGCCAAAGAGTATATCATTCAGCTGTATTGAATTGCTTGTGTGTAGAAAAAATATTTTTTGCCATACCCAAAGTGAACCATGTTGAACCATTGTCTACATAGGAACCTTGAGCAATGGTGAACTCTTTTCATGTTTCGAATTTTAGGTGGACAAATGATATGAAGTATCTACATATTCAATAAGAATAGCAGAAGGAGACCTTATTCCGATGGTTTTCAGCTGCATAACTGTAGGAACAGTGTTAGAAGAGCAGTAAACACTTAGGTACGACGTTTATACAGGTTCTGATTGGCTAGTGACTTGACGTGTTCCGAGCTGTCAGTTTACATAATCTTACATATAAGAAAATCACGGGGACAAGGCACCGGTGCAGCGGGGGGTGCTAGACTGGCGGGGGTGCCAACAGGGGTGCCGGCGGGGGTGCCAATGGGGGTACCAGCAGGGGTGCAGGCAGTGGGTCATGGCAAGGATGTGTGCAGCCCCAGAGGTAGTAAAAGTAACCATCTATGTCTCTACAGTCTATCTTGCAAATATACGAGCTCTGAGTGCACAGAGTGTTGTATATGAAATTTGAAATTCAAATATTACCAATCTCTGACTATTGTGAGGCAACTTGCTGTTGAGCATCTGAGTTGATGTGGGCGATCAGACGTGATCGGATGTTGGGGGTTGTTGTGGACGTCTCACCCCCTATAAGTTTTTCAGGATCGTTTACCGCTCCTCAGTCTTACCATCATTACGGTGCGACTGAGGGTGCGTGTATCATTCCTTCTGCCTTATCTATTTACTTACAGTACTTGTAGACTTACGTATTCCGATTGTCTACAGGTACAGAATAGAGTCTTACCATCATTACGGTGCGACTGAGGACTTACGTATTCCGATTGTCTACAGATTCGCAGTCAGACGCGGAAGCAGCAGTCCAACAATCAGTACACCAAACGAGTGATATTGAAGACCACAGCGCTCCATAGATCCTACAGAAAAACGCTCGAACCCCTATAGCGATGACCTCGAACCTTCCCTCCACCCCCATCCTTCCAGACGATCAGAAGCTCGCAGTCGATGGCACAAATTGGTCGACCTGGAAGGAAGCTGCCATCAGCATGGCTCGCGGACGTGGCCTGACAGGTTACCTGTACGGCACCATTAACAACCCAACCGGGTATGTTGCAAGCCTGTATGGAACGGCCCTCAACTCGGACAACCCCTCCCCCGACGAGTACCTTATCCGCGATGGATGGGTCGCCGCGATGCTGTTCCAGAACATGAAGGACCCAAGGTCGCACGACATAACGGGATCAGACACGGCTCACCGTATGTGGACCATTCTGCTCGCCAAATTCAACCGGAGCTCCGAGCTGTTGATCGGGATGAAGGTTGAGCGCTTGAGAGAGCTCGTCCTCAAGGACCCTCGCAAATTGCCTGCACACATCGACGAATTAGTCAAACGACGCACGGACGTACACGAAGTCGGAGGAACGATACCAGACCCCCTGATGTGCACGATCCTCCTCAATTCGTTGCCCAAGGAGGAGTTCGGAACGGCGTTGATATCTCTCCAGATGTACAAGGTGGTCGCAGACTTGGTCCAGCACCTCCGCGAATGGTGGGATATCGTTTGGAAGCGGCGAGTCGAGGATGAGGGCGTTGGGACCCCACTGAACACCACAAATGCGATGACTATCAATGTCTCGGCATCAGCGTGTTCCAATTGCGGAGTAAATGGCCATAGCGACAAGGCATGCTGGGCAAAAGGCGGTGGAAAGGAAGGACAAGCGCCAGGGTGGTGGAAGGCCCCGCGCGGGATGGAACCCAGCCCAGCGCTAGTGTCAAGCTATCAGCAAGCAAGGCAGGCGCGGCGAGGACAGGCGAACCCCTTCTCACCTCCGACGGCCAACTTCGCATCGTACGGATCGCAACCAATTCCTCCGCAAATCAATCCATCTGCCATGACGACTTACGTCCTTGCCGCAGAGATAGACGATTACGGTGAGCAACAGCACTCAGGTGACGGATGGCACGTATCTGACGACCCGCTCAGAATCGGACGTGGAAGGTCAACTCCTTCCATTCTGATCGGGTCGAATGGTCGTCCATACCAACCTGTAGTGTACGCTGTATCGTCAGGAAGCCCACGCGTGAATATGATCCCAACTTACATGGACTCGGGAGCATCGGAGCATTGCATAGTGGATCGATCGCGCTTTGTCACATACAAATCGACCCCGGGCGTCGAGGGCACCACCGCGGTCAAGTCAGGAGGAAGATTCCAAGTTCGAGGGCGGGGGGACGTCGAGATGAATCTGCTACTGCAAAACGGAGAAGCACGACGAATAAGATTCCAAGCGGTACACACACCGGAATTCCAAATGAATCTGATCTCAATCCCTACCCTTGATGCGCGCGGACTACAAGGAGCGTGGGGGAACGGCGTGCTCAATGTGGTGAACAGGGACGGCGTCACGGTCATGGACGGTGTTCTTGCAACCAACCAGGGAGATCGGCGGCTGTACCGGGTGAACGTGACGGATGAGCAGCCGAGACCAACCGTAGCCATTGCCGGGAGGGACCGCAACCAGCCCACGACCTTGGAAAATTGGCATCGTCGCCTGGGACATTCCGATGTGAAGGTCATCCAGAGGATGGAGG